ATAGAGACAAATTTATATTAGAACATAGCTAGCAGAGTCGCGCAATCAAATTCATTATACGTAAGCGTGCTCAAAATCCCGATAGTGCACGCTGATAGCGTCAGCAAATCCGACTTCGCCAGAAAAATTTTTTTTTCGCGCGAGCGGCCATTGCTAGTGCGGGGAAAAATAATACATTTCGCGACAATAATGGATACAAACAGAAACTCGGCCTGCTATTCCGAAAACGAAGACAATGTTTCGACCTTTTCCCATGGGCTAGAGTTCTTAAATGAGGCAGAAAAAGAGAAAAACAAAGGAAAAGGAGACTCGGCATCAGCGCCGTCACGATTCGCTTCAACTGATATTGTTGTCCGTTTTTCGCGTCGCATTTGATGCACAATTCCACCGGCTATGTTCTAAAACAATTGGTTCATGCTTTCAGCTGTGCACTATCGAGTTATGGAGCACGCGGGAAGTTTGGAGAGCACGAAAGAAGCGTAAGAGTTGCCCGAGGCGATAGCCGAGGGAAACTCTAGCTTCTTGAGTGCTCTCCAAACTTCCCACGTGCTCCATAACTCGATAGTGCACAGCTGAAAGCATGAACCAATTGTTTTAGAACATAGCCGGTGGAATTGTGCATCAAATGCGACGCGAAAAACGGACAACAATATCAGTTGAAGCGAATCGTGACGGCGCTGATGCCGAGTCTCCTTTTCCTTTGTTTTTCTCTTTTTCTGCCTCATTTAAGAACTCTAGCCCATGGGAAAAGGTCGAAACATTGTCTTCGTTTTCGGAATAGCAGGCCGAGTTTCTGTTTGTATCCATTATTGTCGCGAAATATATTATTTTTCCCCGCGCTAGCAATGGCCGCTCGCGCGAAAAAAAAATTTTTCTGGCGAAGTCGGATTTGCTGACGCTATCAGCGTGCACTATCGGGATTTTGAGCACGCTTACGTATAATGAATTTGATTGCGCGACTCTGCTAGCTATGTTCTAATTGTTAAGCGGCAACCAATTTCTATAAAACTCAACATTAGAAGTGTTGTTTTATGGTTGAAATAATTTGCAGTTCCAACGTAGACAACTTGTCTCTATTTACTAAGGAACAATAAAATTATGTCCAGCGTACAAGTAGATTGTAAAAAGGGTTTGGAAGTATTTGTAGGTGAGCACTTCAGCGAGGTTCCAGCCGAGTAAGCACTTGTAATATTGGAGATATATATTTTTTAAGTTTCGTTTAATTACCAACAAATGAGAGTGTTTTTAATTTTTTTTTACCTCAATGCGGGTTATTTAGGTCAACCGACCGAGCAATATCATTGAGGAGAAAGTTATGAAATGTCGCGTGAAAATAACTCTTATTCTGGAACTAATATTCAATAAAACTTTTATAATAACTGACACACTTGTTAGAAAAGTCATTGCTGAGACATGCTGGTTAACTAAGCCCACTTAGTGTTTGTGCAAGATTTTTCCTTGACAATGTTCAACAAAGAATCGCAACTTATGCGATGTAGACCTTCCCCTTCGCCAAGGAACAAGGAGGCAACTGTGTACAATTTTAGGATTAGTTTGCGAGATCCCACCAGCTAGTAACTTTTGTTTTTTTTAGTCCAGTTCGGGGTACCTGCTTGTACTCCTTGGAAGTACTTTAACGAAACATCTGAAATTTTCATGAGATATTTGTTTTCTACAAAATATAGTTTGATAGCATTTCCTCTTCTTTTCCACACCTGCGACTGAAATGATTCAACTCGGTAGGTTTACCGATGTAAGGCTCCTTACCTATCGTCTTTGTTGGAGTGTAGCTGTAAAAACCATCTCTTGGCAATTTCGATTCGGCGACCATCATTCTATTTTTAGATCGGGTATATTGCCCTTCATACATGGATCCGGACTTGCAGTTGCTAGGAAGCAATTCTACGGTCTTGGAATCTCCGAGTAAATTTTTTGAAGCAGATATTTTCAATGTCCACTAACCCTTTTTAGCCGCTTATTAATATTGCCTGGTAGGAGGAGAGAAATATAGCAATTCTCCTGTACATCGTTAATTCTAGGAAAAGGAAACATGGAGCACTTTGTTTTAGACGGAAAAGCAAATCTTCCTTACCGTTCACAGACGCCCACGCAACAATTTAAGCCAGAGTTAAAAATCTGCATTGAAGTGTTTCTTAATATGTAAATCAGGTTTTACCGACACCGTAGTGAATATTGAGTGGTGTTTTCCTGTTTGCTGTTGCTTCATCGGTCAGCGAGTGTTTTAAAGTGATAAGGCAACACCAAAAAATTTCAATTCTTTTTGAAACTTAATATCATACCCGCGGCTAAATTAGTCTAATTTCGTTACCGACTTTGCCTTCGGCGAACTTTTTTTTTTTTTGAAAAGCGATGTGAAGTGCCTATTTTTGCAGCCTCTTCACTTTAGTAAAGTGATATGTGGCCTGTGGTTGGTGTACACGGAATGTAACCGCTTATGATTGGCGTCTGAGGTTAAAGATCATTATAGCCCTTCTTCATACCGGAATTAAGTTTTGAACAGAAGCGGTAGGGCTATAGCTTAAAATTTCGCGACAAGTAAATTTCGTCTTCGAGTAACAATAGTAATAAAGCCAATAAAACCGGATATAATGGTTCCCCACGAGTCAAAACCAAAACACAATCATTCCTCTCGGCCAAAACATCGAACCAACGAAAAATAAACACTTTATTTATTCAGAACAAAACCATAAGTTACTTCCCCTCTCGGAAGATTCTTTCTTATTCTACTCAGTACTTATTTATCATGAGACACTAAGCGTGGCGGCTAATTTTTTTGGTCGCTTTTCAGTCGTTGTTCCCAAAGCAAGTTCACCCCAAATATATGGTGTCAAATTGCGAAATAAGATTAAGCACGAACGTCTCGTTGATAAATTTGGCCCTTCCAAACGGCGTATTTACACAACAATCTTTGGGGATTGTGAGGAGATTCCGACTCCGTTTCTCAAGAAAGAAATTACATTTATAGGCTTGCTTTCTGTCCCCCACACCAATACAGTGATAGACAAGTATGTTCATACTGTACCTAGAAATAACTACGGGTTACAACGTTGAAAATAAACTACACTCTACTCCCTCGTTATAAAAATATAAACTCGCTTTCAAAGTCGAATCAAGTCAGAATCTAGTCGTGAACGAGACGCATGTGTTCATTGCAGGTGCAGTTTCAAAGTTTTCATTGCGGTGACCTTCTTGTGAAACGTTCTTTAAAAACACGGAACTAAACTGTCATAAGAATACGGGCTTAACGTCTGGCTTCTGGTTGATACAGGCACCATGTAACCAGAAGCAGGAACGAAGGAGTAAGGTGCTGTCTTATCGCTGTACACCACCATCGGCACATAACTCACTTCACCGCGGAGCTGTTTCCCGAGAAAGTCTATGAGGCGAAGGGTTTGTTTTCGTTCGTGTCCCATGAGGCAAACAGTGGAAGAAGAAACAATATGATAGAGAACCATCAAATATTCATATTGAGCTCGCTTGTCTCCGATGAAATGATTTGCCAAGTAACTCTCCAACTTCTGTTGCTGCTGATGGATATCGCTGAAGTCGATAAAGAACCGACTACACATGTATCTCTCTAGGATCTTGATCTCTTCATAGTTTTCTGGTATATAACTTCGCACCAAAAGATTGCAGTACTTAAGGAGACCACCACCTCGTATTTCCTCCGGGTTACGGGTAGCTATCAGTTTGTTGTCTAAATGATATAGGGCAAGCTTAATATCGCCGTAAACCGACTCGGCCACAACGGTGGGGAAGAAACTGGGCTTCATCGGCACTGGTGACAGTTTGTAGAAGCCAAGAAGGGAATCGAGGATAATCTGGAACGAATCAACCGAGAATTCAAACTGCCTACGCATCGAGTCGACGAACTTCAGTTCGACGTTTTTTCCTTGATTGTTCCAAAGCGAAATTAACGACCAACGATCGTTGTCAGTCGACACTTTAACCATCTTTTGAACATACGCTTCTTTCAGGATGCAGCTATTCATTCTATCCTTCGGAATTTCACTGGGAAAGAAATTTAGAAGCGAGTTCAACACGACACACTTGATCTGTTGTAAGTGCAAATTAGAGCGAATCTCCACACCAAAGATCAAGTCAATATCATTGTACGAACAGTTGCTCTCGGTACTTAAGATATTGCTGGCAGTACTTCCATTCAATCGGAGGTCTCGAACTTTCAATCCTTCTTCTTTAAGGCCTGCTGTCACAGTCTCTATTAAATCTTTGAGTGGAACTTCAAGAGTAGGAAAATTTCCTCGGCCATGAATGAACACAGTTTGGTTTAATACACTGTGAAGACGAGTGAGCTGGTTGAATGTGAGAACTTGGCAGTTGTTTTTGAGCTCCATATCTGTATCTTTCTACTGTAGTGTCGTCTACTATAGTGAGAAAATGTTCTACCTTGAATGAGTCGCTTTTGACCTTCCAACGGTGTAAATTCTCCGAACGAATGAAAAAAGTTCGCCGACGACAAGAACATATCATGTCGCAGTCATAATTCGCATGATCTGATTGGCTAGGAAGACAATACAACTCAGTCTCTTGGCAACAGCACGAGAGTAAGGGGTGACAGGATATCATTACGGCCAATGACATGATGGGTTTTTATCAGCCCACATCCCGCCCACAATTCGTAAACAGATGAAGTAAAATTTCATATTTCATGAATTGCCTTAGCTTCCTGTGTTTGGGGTTGTATGTATTCCCCGTCAGAAAATAGCCAGGCTTCCGAAAAAATACTTTATGTGGTGACCAAGATTCCCAAAGAGGTTTGATCTATTCCTGGAAAGTTGACGCAGCACTAAGATCATTAGGGAACGTGCGTCAATAATTTAGATCGAAGGCGTAAGATAGCATTATCAGCCCTCGTGCATCGCATTATTCATGAACACAAAGGGCGAAATGAAAGGAGTTTTGAACGTTTAACTGACGTCAGAGATTACAGGAGTTTCATTTGTATTCAGACAAAACTGCTAGAATTGTTCTCGAGTTCTATGAAAATAACCTGCTTCAACCAATGCTCAATAGGAGAGGAAGTTTCACTGGCAAATTAATAACATTGGGATCGATGTCGGAAACTCCTGTTTTTAATTCCGAAATTTCCCATCGGATCGTTCGAAGAACTCGAAATCTCCCTTGTGTACTGAATCGAGGAAAAGGTATTCGTTGGAGTAAAAATGTACAAATGAGAATCAAAAACTCTCCGCTCCCAGAGTAAAAGATAAATTTAAAAGAAATAAAATTTGAATCACATCGGAACTTAACTTCAATCTTTTTTAAGTATATCCTAAAAAACCTTCAAATCATTTGTACATGTACAAAGTACTACGCTAACCTTCAAAATATTCAAATGTAAATCATGGACCCAGAAGTAAAAACTTAATTCAAGATAAAAATCTTCTGCAATAAACAAAATAAATAACCTGGATCAGACGAAAATTTTGTCACGACATTATATCAAGTTCCTTCCTTCTACGTCAAGGATCGTTTTCAATGGCAAACAAGGCTCTAAAATTTACATGTCAGCGACTTAACACTTCCTAGATCAGTTATTTTATTCAATTTTTTCATCAGACTTCTCTGATTCTTTTCGCTAAAATGGATGCGTCAGCGCAATGATAGTACTAAAAAATAATTCATTCCTTAGCTGGATATATTTGTTACTCAATATAGTTGTGGGAACTCATGATTTTGTATCGATTTACACACAAGTTACTTGAGCCATGTGTGAAAGTGAATCTACAGAAATAGACTGTCAGTGGTACGAACACATCCTTGGGGACCTTTCATTGTTCAGTTTATTTTCGTCACAAGTCTATTATTAGTTTCAACTGCCAGAGCGTGTGAAAGATTTCGTTAAAGATTTGTTATCAGGCTGATACGGATAAATTAAGAAACAAATAAGAATTATTTCAACCATCAAAGAAAAACGTTTGAAATACCCGGAGACTCTTCACATTGACTGACTTCCTACAAGTCACAACGCGTTAATTTCCAAAAATAACTTTATTCCTATTCATATATTCATAGGACAGTTTGTTGTTCTTAATTCTTTTTAATAAATTTTTAACGCTTCTAGATTTGATCTAACCGCACTTGTAATTTATTAGTAGTAATTACCATGGATCAATCGTAGAAAAGCCCAAGTTGAAACAATGTCAATCTAAATGAAGAAACTGAAGGTTCACTGACTACGATTTGGTCTCTTTACATATTCGTTCTTCATGTTCGTTTCCTTCCCATGACAAAACAAATCATGTAACTTCGGTAGCCTTTAACACCTCTGTGTTATCAGAAATATCATCTTGTTCATATCTACCTTGTTCTAATCGCTGATATCAAACCCTTTTTCAGGCTCAACGAGGAACAAACTCAGAAAATAGAAATATAATCCTCATTCCCACTCATCTTCATTAAGTCTGTATTAGAAACAGTTCCTTGATGTTCATGCATTTGTAGGGCATATCTAGTTTAATAGAACGCTAATCGACATTTATACTGAATAATTAAAACAACAATTTCTCTTAACTCTAAAACTACCTCTTAAAAGTGGCTAAGTTTAACGAGATATTACAAGCATGATTTGAATATGGTCCGACAACGATGTAGACTGAAGAATAATTGTTGGCCGAATCATTTCACTGCCGGAATAAATATGGTATTTATTGCCCGAGGAGGCAATAACCGCCATGTGCCTTCCAAAAGATCATATGTGTAATTGTCGAAATTTAGTGGCAGAATCGGTTATATCTTTAAACTCAACAAAGACTCTTATAGACTTCCCGTGCGGTACGTACTGGCTGGAGTGTGGTAATTATTTCCATTTTCCTGTGAGGAATAATAATAAATGTGATTAATAACATACGAAACGACTGACAAAAATACTTCCTTCAAGCAAAAACAAAACAAAAAAGCTTCACAAGAGTAAAGTGACGTCTAATCTGCTTTGGACACATATTTTGTGGTAACCACTAAAACTCATACCTTCATGTCGTGCTCCAAGACGAAGGCTGGAATTTCCAGTTGATCAGGATCAATCCAGTCATACAAGTATTGGATTCCGGACAAAAAGTGAACCTTATCTTTGATTGAGGAAGCGGTGAAAGTCGTGAAAAACCACGTAACAATTCTAACCCAAACAGTTGGATGAACTATGTAAAAGGCTTTAAGATTACGCCGATACCTTGGTACAAGGAGAGATAAGTGTTACTCAAAATGTGTCATACTAGTGTACAAATGTTTCTAACGATGTATTTTTTTTGGCTACTCTCCCGTGTTAGCAGATTTAAAATAATTGAAATTAATACAAACTCTCCCCAGCTTTAAGCAAAGTGTGAAATCAAAGTAAAATCAAAGGTGAAGAAGACTAACTTGTTATCCACCAAATGATAAATGTCTTTCAAAAATGACAATGGAGGCTGATTTTCCTCTGAACTCAGTGTATGCAAGTACACAATAACATAATCCCTGTTAACAATCTTGTCCAATACGGAGATAAAGTAAGCCACAGCCTGAAAAACACGAGAGCCAACAAAAATAAAATACTCACAACCTCGACCCTCTAACTGTAACACCCTTAAAACATCTCTTGAAGATATCATAGTAACAAATCTCCCACTAGAAGTATAAAAAGCTAAAAAAAACGAAAAACCTCCCCCTTTCCAAAATCTACTCGATGGTTTAACTGGAAGCAAATATTTCATCTCTACATACGTGTACCAATACTGCTTTTAGAAGTAACGCTGCACGTCGTTATGATTTGGGTTGGGCTTAGGGTTATCTGAACTTGTCTGGTGAAAATTGTTTTTGATTTTCAGTATAAGTGGTTCTCACTTCCCACTCACATACGAATCTCGCTTTTATAGAACACGAGTACTGTTTCACGGCATCATCACCGAAAATTAAGAATTCCCCTAAATACATCATTCAGTGAAAACACTTCTCGAGTAGACCACCAAGAATACCTCTGAGAATCTCGGTTTTCCAGACAAAAAAAAAAAAAACGTAGAAAAACAATCACCACGTCTGTCTAAAGGTCAATACGATGTGTTTTGATCTGAAACACAAATTCGATCACATGGTTTAGGTGTCACTAATCGGGGGAAGGGTTTTAAGTACCAATTCTGCGGACTTTGTACCCCCGCTAAAGCATACAGGAACAAACCTTATTCAAGTCTACACTTCTTGCTTGAAAATGCCGACCAACAAATACTATGACAGGTCTGCCAAGGAAATCCACACCTACAAAACACAGATTCAATATTGTGTTTACTAAACTAACACCCAGATATCAGCTTCCACATCACGGAGTTTGTAAATAAGTCAGGAAGAACAAGTAAAAATTATTCACATTGAAACTCATAGAAGGAGGATGTTTCGACTGATCCATGGATGAATGTGTTCCATCAATTTTTTATTAAATGAATAAATCTGCATTTTCTGATTGATTTAATGGCGTAATATCAAACGCAGGGTGGTGCCAAAACGCGAGAAAAGTTTTTACATCTCGGCCGTCTTTGTGCACACTTAGAAAAAATAACAGGGCTACCTGGCTCCGCTAGCCTCTATGGTTATTCCAGGCTGCTAGTACTCCAATTTTTTTCTAATAATTTCTTTCAATTTTGTAACTTTTTCGCTTAGAGCAATTATGAATGTGAGTATAAATAAAGATTATCCGTATCCGTATGAGAAATGCCAGCGGAAAAGAAAAATCAACCAAAAGCAAAACCTGATTGGTAGACCATCTTCAACCTGAGGAGACTCGAAAAATCTTCTGTCCTGGCTCGACGCAGCCATCTTTGATAGCTGAAGTAAATAGGATTCAAACATAATTAAAAATTAAAAATAATAATTAAAAATAATTAAAAATCTTCTGTCCTGGCTCGTCGCAGCCATCTTTGATAGCTGAAGTAAATAGCATTCAAACATAATTAATACTCAGTTAACACAATTATTACAGAGCAAGTCATACACTATACCAAAAGATTCAAAATCAACTAAAATTAAAGGCCACAATGCATGACAGCAACGTATGGCAGGGCTGCCCATTGCAGATGTCATAAAATATTCCTTACACTCTCTCATGTTGAATAGCATGTTGTTCACTGGGAGATCTCTGCAGTCGTTGTCTTGTTAGTTGGTCATGGTCTCCTGCCATTGCTGTGAAGGAATGTTTGCCGACAGTAGCTGAATCCAACATGTGAATAGCACCAGCTTCTTCTGCTTCTTCTACATCAGGGTCTGCACCTGTTTTAAACACATTCCAATCACATGTAATTCTATATTTTAGTCTCTTTAATATTCTCGCATAAATGTGTGGATATATCGGCTGACCTTGGATTTTGTGAGAAAGAAGGGTTTTATTTCTCAGAGCTAAATCAATGGAGCACAAATCTTTCCTTACCATCATCAGAGTTTCTTTGACCCAGCGGTTTATCCATTATTCTAATTTGTCTTTCAGCGATCACTGGTTCACCATTTTCATTCCCTACAAATGCAAAGATATCAAAACTGAGTTTACAATAAAGGTTGGACAGTACTCTTTGTGGTGAGTTACAAATGAACTAACTATTTTTCTATGTCTGCATCGGTAACTTTCAAATGGCATTAAGGTTGCAACATTTTAAGATTGAAATTGAAAGAAACTAAACATGCATTAGGAATGTTATTCCTTGCTAGTTAACCATGTCAGATGTAGAATCTTAAGCAAAGAAAAGAAATACCAGAGCTCACCAATATCATCTGGAAGTTTATTCAACACATATTCCTCCTCTTCCTTGCTTCTTGGGAAGTAAAGAGGCATGACATTCTTGTATATGGCCTTCCACAGAAAGCGAAAAAAAAAAAAAAACCTTAGGATGAATGACTCAAAAAAGGGTCTTCAAAATTCACCTTCTTACCTCATCAGCATTTTCAGCAGAAAAAACAACAAGTTCAATATCAGAAAACTTTTCTAGAAATCGTCTGACAGTTCCTGTAACCAAAATATAAAACTATCAAACCCTGCATCTGTGTTTTCTAAGTAATGCTACAAACTTATATGTAGATGTTGACACTAATCAATACATGATATAACTTTTTCAGTCTATCCAAGCTATGTAATTAAACTTTGATGGGGGTACAAAGATGTGAATAAAGAGAAAAATTAAAGAAAGACAAAAACAAAAAATACACCAAAAAAATATAAATTGTTCAACAAGAGATACAGATAAGACAGGTTTACAGAATCCAAAATTTTTTTTCCTTTTACACAAAACAAAATCGAAAAAATAATTCTGATACTCAAATCAGGACTTACGCAAAGCTATGTGGGCACCATCTTCAGGGGGGTAGCCTCTTCTGGATGTGTTTATTACACAAAGACCAACAGAGGTAATTCTGTTCTCTCTAAATCAAACAATATGCAACGTTAGTGACTATATGTATGATGCACGATCCTCGCAGTAGATAGCGCTATTTAAGCAATAGCGAAAATCAGACCTGAAAWAAATCAGGCCTGTACGGGATTTGAACCACTGACCTCTGCGATACTAGTGCAGCGCTCTACCAATTGAGCTAACAAGCCAACTGGGAGCAGGCCGTTAAGTTGATTCGTAATAAACACGTGAAAGTGATAAATCAGATACAATGAAATATATGAAGTTCATATATTTTGAATCCCGTACAGGCCTGATTTTTTTCAGGTCTGATTTTCGCTATTGCTTAAATAGCGCTATCTACTGCGAGGATCGTGCATCATACGTATCTAACACCGCAGTTCAAAATATATGAACTTCATATATTTATTGTATCTCATTTATCACTTTCACGGGTTTATTACGAATCAACTTAACGGCCTGCACCCAGTTGGCTTGTTAGCTCAATTGGTAGAGCGCTGCACTAGTATCGCAGAGGTCAGTGGTTCGAATCCCGTACAGGCCCGATTTTCGATATTGCTTAAATAGCGCTATCTACTGCGAGGATCGTGCATCATACGTATCTAACACCGCAGTTCAAAATATATGAACTTCATATATTTCATTGTATCTGGTTAGTGACTATGTCAGCCATTCTTATGGTAACAATAATTTTCCCACCTTGTTTTCCCAGTCACAAGGATTAGGCACCCAATGGGTAAATGAGTCTACGGTGCTCTATGTTTTTAGACTGGGTCTTAGAAGACTCCTATATCTTGTTACAAAGCTCATCTCTCTATAAGTAGGCTTTGTTAAGGGCTGCTTTTCGTTAAAAAGATCCCTTGGATACAAGGCAAACCCACAGAGGACTCATTTTGCAGAGCTAAAGGTGATGTAGCTGGAAGCAATCATGGGTGATGCGACTCATGAAACCAGTGGTGCAGTAATAACATAATAATAATAATAATAATAATAATAATAATAATAAGTTTTATTTCAACTGATAAAACTAATCAGCAATATGCTAGATTGGCTGGTATAAACTAGTGATCAGCATGATAAATAGTATCAATTAAAATCAAAGGAGAGACCCTATAAGGAACTGAAGTCTAAATTAAAAGAACAAAGTTATATATAGAAAAAAGGCTGATAGTTTCGAAAGAAACTGTTTGGGGCTGCATTGGTGGGAGTAATGAAATAATTTGGATATATCGACAAAGTTGAAATGGTAAATTGGCCACCGTAATGATTACAAAAGCTGACGTTTCGAGTGTTAGCCCTTCGTCGGAGCGAAGGGCTAACGCTTGAAACGTCAGCTTTTGTAATCGTTATGGTGGCCAATTTACCATTTCAACTTCGTTGATATATCCAAACTATATATAAAAAAGCTAATACTTATTTTAAACTACATATTAAATGATTACATTTGTCGTATTCTAAAAAATATTTAAAAACTATTGCCTTAAATTTAGATAAAGACTGTATCTCTCGAATCTCCTTAGGTAAAAGATTCCACTCCCTAGTAGCAGTACATTTAAATGACGTTTGACCTATTTTGGTCTTTGTAGCAACAATATTCAATAACGTAGAATCTCTAAGATCTCTAGTATGAAAGGCTGATCTCTTGGGGAGATAGTTCTCTAATTGCTGTGGGCAATTTAAATCATGTACAATCTTAAAAACAAGATTAAGTCTTAAGAATCTATGTCTACTCTCTTAAGACAATAAAGAAAGCTTACTACACATTTCTTGAGAACATGTATTATGACTTGTAGAGAGGATGGTATGCATGGCCTGATTTTGCAACCTTTCTAAACGTTGTGAGTTGTTCTTTCCACAGGTTACAATCAATCAGAAATCAATCATCTATTTAAAACTCTGATTCTGCCAATTTTTCACAGTATAATAACTTCAGAGATACTTTCTCAATGTAAGTCTCGGAACACGCAGGTAGATGAATCACTATCAACAGAATGTGCCACAGCAGGGAGAGTTTTCTACATCTTTTATAATCTTTTATAATTTGTATGCTTCGGATTTTAACTTGTAACATAGGAAATGTATTTTTATGCTATGAACAAATAAAGACATATTATTATTATTACTTACTTTTGAAAAACTGATCTATTACACACCACACAGACAAATACCTCTCACAAGACTCCCTAGTTTGCATTTGGTGTCCTAATAGAATTACAGACTTCAACTCACTCTTAGGTAAGTCAGGTTCAACTTTCTCTAATACACAAGTCATACAGATTGATACTAAGCAATAACTGACAATTTTCCCAAGAAATGTCCAACAATTCTTAAATTACCCACCTCACTATTTTCATTACACTTCTGTAACAAGAGAAAAGAGCACTCTCTGCCGCAGTTTTGTATTTGATGTTGTATCGTGGACCCACGGTGTGAATAACAAATCTACAAGTTGCAAAATGAGGACAGTTTAACTCCTGAATAAAGGTAACGAGCAGTGGGATTACTGCTGCAGTTAGTTTAAGAAATCTACAGACAACACATGATAACATAATATATCATTAAAAGGAGAAAAAAGATAACAGATGATAACATAGTATATCAAGAAAAGGAGAAAACAACTCGCCACCTTTCCATTTTGTTAATGGATAACATTTTGTTTGGGAAATTTTAATTCCAAATTAGCCAATTATATTAAGCTTATTTCAAAGATTTGCATCAACAAATCTGTATAATACTCTTATCTGTATGTTAAAAAATTTGATCTAAAAATATCCTCCCTCATCACAGGATTTTGTTTTTTTACTCCAGTTTCAACTTCCCACATGCATCCATACCTTGATATATCCAAGCTAAACATGAAACAATTGTTAAATCATTCTTAAGCATAGTATCAGTACTGTAAACAGTAAAACTGTGACTGAAATATTTGGTCTTGTATAGTTAGATTGGAGGTTACCATATTACATACCTTGCTGGTAGACAATAGCCCTTTGAAATTTTAGCTTCTCCAGTTCTGCAACCTGATAACAATGAAGATATCAAGCTTCCATTTAAAATTGCAATAAAAAAATACCATCAGTTATACATCAAAATATAACATCACAGCTTGGTTTGATGATGAACCATGGGTAAGGAAATCATAAAGAAAGAAATACATCAACCAACATGAAGCAATAAAAAAGTTAACTATGATTCTGCTCCAGAATAGCTTTAAACACATATTGTTTACTTGATGCTAAAGAACAAGAAAACAATAATCATCTCTTACCAAGTAACTGTGTTTTACACTCCTGCAAGAGTTCTGGACCTGCTGCACGATGGATTCTTTCACTTAACATTCCTTTGCTACTTAAAGATTCATTTGTAGTGTTAACTATTGCAATAGTGTTCAGTTTAGTGATATCACCAGACCTAATAGTTAGAAAAAATAACAAAAATTATTTAAATTAGTCTCTTTTAAATGTAAAAACCCAAAGAAACAGGGAAGCATAGTAATTAGTCCCAAGCAAAAATCACCCTTTTTGGTGGTAACAAAGTAACTAAGTATACAGTAATATACAAGCCTTAGTTGGAGAGTCTGTTGCAGTTCAGTTCTATCCTTAGTTTCTTTAGCTTTAGCCAGTTATCATTAGTGATAAGATACAACCACAAAGCCCATGTAGTTTGGGCTAGCAAGTGCAAGTGTGTGCAAAAGGTCCACAAGGGGTTCTGGTACAAAAATTACAGAGTTCCCGTTAATGCACAGGTGTGCGTCTTATACGTACAAAAAATGAAAATGACACACAGTTTTTGCCAATGTGCGTCCTCGGGATGCAGGAAAATATATTTGATATTTGAAAGAGGAAACCTGAAAGTGATACAGATCTGGGGGATGATACCCAAGTGAAGAAATGCAAATTTTGTCCTAAATGGCCGGAGGAGTTTCAATGGTTAAAATATGATTCGCTGAAAAATAAATGGTTGGTGTTGAGAAACACGAGCACACTTTATTCCAAAATGACAGCTCCATTAATGCGTTAACATCTGGTCTTGGCTTTTGCCTCTCTATAAGTAACTATAAAATCAAATTTTAGTAAAAGGCAGGGGACCCCTAAAAAGCTAAAAGGATCCCCAACTTCTTGGAACTGGGGGTCCCAAGGACCCTTAACTATCAAAACTAGTGGGAACTCTGAATTAGTGCCTGCTTGGATGCTTCCATATGAAGGCATCCATATTTTAACAACTGCATAGTGAAAAGTGTAAAACTTTGCAAGCAGAATTTGAGAGAAATATAACAGCAAATCTCATATGGAGACATTTCAATCAAAGATAGCTCTTATGATCATCAATAGTCACACAAGAATTGTACACAGAGTGTACCAAAGTTGCTGAGTTTGCAGGTGCTATTTCCGTGTTAAACATTGGACTGGAATATAAGGCTGGGTCTTAACTAAAATCTTATTTGACTTGTGAAATCTCCATGGGAGCCACAAAGAAGTATTACTGGTGATGTTCATAGACGTATGTATTCAAATGGTCTGATTTTTCAAGTCTAGTTGCAATCCATGAACGCAAAATAAAATAGAAACTTTACAAAAGGCAATCCACAGGTGCTTACAACCTGCTCTTCAACTCAAACTAAACATCAACTACCAACCACAGTTTTAACCTTGGAAAGGAACCCTTCAAACAAGAACTTGAACCAAACAAAAAAGCATCCAAGAAACCTTTGTCTCAAAGTCTCTCTTCTTAGAAATTTGGCAGGATTGAAAACTCATCATAAGAAGATAGCAAACTGTTCTCCTTTTGTAATTTATCACATGAAGCTCTATGAGCTCTATCTTTTATTATTTTGTAGACAAAGCATCATAAACCAGAATATACATTATCCCTTCAAGCCCCCCAACTCTTCAGCTTTGCACAGTACAAGAGTAGTTGACAACAATCAATTAGAGCTGTTTAACACCTTTAAATTTCAAATTCTTTATGGTTATTCTGACTTCTATGACTGTCCTGAAAAACATTTCTGCTCCGCCTAATAGTTTTCCCTCCTTTAACTTATCATTCCTTGTGACAGTTAGCATGCAAAATATCTTCAATTGTCTTGCCCAAACCTTCAATGTGGTCCTTGCATCTGCAAACAGTTGGAATGTAAAGCTTTAATTGCATCTTGTTGGCATTTGGGCAAAACATCACCTTTATCCAAGGGATAATTCACTGCTTTTTCCTCCTCCTCCTTTTTTATGATGGTCACATCTCTTACTCTGATCCGAAGTTTTTATATTTTAAGGTTTGGATTACTAGAAACCGTGTTTGCCTTGAATAACGAATAACCCACTAGCATACTATACTGGTAGGAAATGTTATTTCCCACCAATCAAAATGCTGCATTTGTAGACAAACACACCATACTCAGCAAACAATAGCCTCTTCTCACAGACTCATTTTTAAGTACCAGAACCCATACAGACCTCTTGCATGTTAACTTTGCTTGCCAGCTCCTGCAGCAGTACTAATAAGGGCCAGCTTGTAGGCTACAGTTTCATCAGGTTAATCTTAATTACAGTGACACAATACAGAGGTCAAAGACACAAATATAAAATTAAAAAAGAGGGGGGCTGCATCTTGTTCTTTTTAACCTTAACATAACTTTTCACATATTAAAGCTAATTCTTGGTGTGAGTGTAATTACCTACTAACTAATCAATTGTTGTTGTACTTCTGGGCTTCCTGGGCAAATACAGTTTTTAGAAGGTTAACATATGCGTTGTCGTTTAAACTACACCCGTAAGCAAGCCGCGACAGGATAATCTAATATTCCAAAGAGTGTAATGCAGTTGCATATATATTCTCAGATGAAAGAGGGGTGAAGCATTCTACAACGATAATTAATACCACCTACTAACAAGCAAGTCGGACTATTAGATGGAAAATTCCCCTTGAAAACAGATAAAGAATACAACAACACACGGTGTCAAACCATGCATGCTCACTACACACCAGAAACCTAATCAATTCATAAAAAAAAAAACGAGTTCAAATGCCTCCTAATACATTCTCACCAGAGTGCTACTTTGCTGTTGATGTCTTGCCGTACAGGAAATGGACTGTGCATCCTTCTGTCATCGGCCGGTGGAGCCGTGTCCTCATAGGCAGGAACTGGAGTTGAGCCCCATCTTGGAATGGAAATAGCGTCCACAAAACCCGCTGTCACTCCAAGGGGATCCATGACACACTAACCCGAAACTTAAACTAAATAATGTTCAGTTCCTAAACAATTTATCGCAAGATAGACTGATTTTCACGCGATTTTCAATCGTATCAGATGTCTCTTTCGAAACACTCGGACATTGTTGGTTCCGTAAGTAAGTAATGGAATCAGCTGTATAGTTAGCCAGCGGTCAAAAAAGATCTGACTCACATAAACCTAAGTGATGTGTATCTAATTTATGCAAAGAGGTAAAGCTCCGATATGGAATGTGACGTTCCTATACCGCATATTGCAAGTCTTCCCAGGTTATCAGTCGAATGGAAACGCATCACCTCACGTACTGTTCTTCGTTACCTTCGCATCATGGAACGAGGGGTCCGGGCATCAAAAATACAAAGTTTCGACTTAAGGAGGCTCGAAAGGGTTTTTTTGACCGCGGGGAGAATGGATTCCAAGATACACGCAAGCTTATTACTCGCGAGAGAGATAAGCGATGGCGCGCGCGAGTTGTAAACAAACATGGCCGCCATGAGCGTTTCAAAATTGCCGGGTACCTCTAGCTCCATTGTTTCCAGCGGAAATGGTTATTAAAAAACAAAAATGGAAAGTTCACTTCTTGAAAGCAGGTAGGAAATGTTCGGATGGCAGGGTTCTTGCCGAAAGTGGTCAATAAAAGTTTATTTAACAAGCTAAAGGAGGATGGTGAAGTCGACACCCCATCAATAAAGTCGTGTCGAGTGCATTCGGTAGGTCTTACTTTGTTCCGCGATAAATTTAAGTGGATACCTCTGAGTGCTACTATTTGTTTCGCATCGTATTTGACTCCTAATAAAATGAAATGACCGAGAACTTTCCTAAACAACTCACTGGAAGATGAAAAGGAAAATGAAATCATTGTTGGATCCAGCAGGGGCCTGTTTCTCGAAAGTCCCGGTAACTTAACGGGCACGAAGCCATGTTTTAAAAGCAAAATTTAAAGGATAGGAAAGCAGGTTCTGGCACCCAAACCAGTCCTTTTTGTCTCTTTAGCCGATAGTTTTATTGTATCATTTTCAAAACTTTCGAAATCCCCATCTTGAATGAAGACAGAACAGCTTTACGGGCCCGTTAAGTTACCGGGACTTTCGAGAAACAGGCCCCTGCAGGNTTAGTTCGGTGACCTACCCTGATTTTTTGTATACAAATTATTTACATCATTACGCATTCCTGAAGAAAATTTTAAAAAAATTTATCTAGTGGAAATTTTTTTACATTTTAAAACAGCATTTTCCTAAATAATTCAAGTTCTACTAGGTAGTTTTTTTTTATATCACGTATACAGGTAGAGAATGTGATGACGTTTAAGAAATTTGAAAAAAAAAACTAGGTCACCGACTTGGTTTTTGAGATATCTTTCAAAAACTGAGTTTTAGAGGGTCTTTTAGCACTACTGTACTGTTGCCATGGCAACAGATAATGCCTGACGAGCCCCTTAAAAGATTGCCCTAACATAGTGTTATGCATATGTCGATTTATTATCCTGATGATAAGTTTGACAGTCCTGATATCTTTTACTGATTGGCGCTTGCTGTTAATTGTTGAAAACCCTTTCGAGCCTCCTTAAATCAAAATGTAACAGAACCCCGAGCATGCGAAGAACAGTGCATTAGATAGAATTCCACACGATCAATCGTCTGTTGCAATTACCTTTATGGTATTTTCTCCATATCTGTGCATGAGAGCAGCATAATCAGTGATCAGATAACCAATTGTTTAATTTACATAAATGTACTTTGAATTTAAGACTAGTTTGTTGGCTCTCCAGTCGATTATCAGAAGTTTTGGCTTCTGATAATCCGTAAGTGAATCATAGTTTGGATATGTTTTTAGCTATTTTTACCTCTATTAACTCTGTTTTTACTTATTGTTCAATGACCGTATCCAACATTCTTTTTCTTCGATCAAACTATGTGTTAAAAACATCCGGTTCCTAAGAAGCGGGTCGAGCTGATTACTATGACGGAAGAGTTTTAAGTGCATTTTAGAGACCGATGAGGGAATGGTTGTTTTATGTAAGGTCAGGGTATACGTAAGGGTAAAGAAAACTTAATTTAGCAAGGGTGACCCATTCAGCTACATGGTTTTTATCTAGAGGGGCCCCTCTAAAAGTTTGTTTCAATTTTTATGTGGGAAAAATTGAAGATCATCTTTTGAACTCTTTCTTTAGCTTCAATGGCTTGGGTGTCTTAAAAAATCACTTCTCATTGAGCTCATGAGAGCAGTATCAGTTTCCTTATTCCAATTAAACTCAAAGGACTTTGGGGGAAAGTAGCTCTTACTTTTCTCACCGATGCAAACAGGCAGAGAGCTTGTTGTATATTTTTAACTCCGAGAGATAATTCCAAGGAACAATTTTCTTCTCGTAAAGACGGACTAATCAATTGGGAAATACTTTTATTTCAGTTTCCGGTGGTTTATTGTAAACCAGATACAAAACGATATATTCTATTCGAAAAGAAAGAAACAACAAACTTACAACACTTTGAGAACTCTTCGCGCGCGGGAATGAGAATGTCGCATTAGAAAATGATCTGTACATTTGATACATGGTTACATCCGTTTGGTGTGCAGTTTATCTGGCTGATCGAGGCACAAGTGGGACACCTTTGTACGGAGATGACACTGCAGTACTTTGGAGCTTCAAGTTATCCAGTACGTAGTTTTTCTTTTGCTTCACTGTCCTACCTGAGTTGGCACTACTAGACACGATTTTCGATCGCACATTTGGGGGGCTATAGTCAGCAGTTTTACCAATGACATCATAGGTCCATTGCATGTCTGGGCACTGTAGAGAAAATACTTAGCGCATTGTTACCACTGCACAAAGGGAAGTCAATTGTGATAACTATAGTCTCTATTGTACGTTCTGCCGGAAAATGACCCTGTATGGTCGGTAGCCGTTTGGGAGTAATGGCGGTAACAGCTTCAAAATACACTCGCAATTTTCCAAAATTTCCTAAAGATACGTACTGATATCAGTGTAATTATTTCAACGCAAATGGTGACAGTGGATTTGGATGTTGGGAGTAACAGCTGTTGATGACAAGTTTGATTCAGTCACTGCTTGAATGCATGAACAAGTATTACAAAGAGAACAAACCACCAAAAAGAAATGCATCGAAAAAAAAAGCTACAAAAACTTTCCAAACTTTTCACTGAAGACATTCAGCGAAATGCATTCTATCATCTGCGTCAATTTAGATTTTTAGCAAACTGTTTTTCTCCTTTTTACGGTTCCGTGTGAGGGAAGAGAAAGCATATTGGTGTGTGGCAAGAAGCCGAGCTGGGTCAAGTCGCGCGCCACACAGCCTGTCTCGTCCGCGTTGTTCTCGCTTTTTTCGAGAAAAAAACAAAACAGATTTCTGTCAGTTGATGTACTTTGACAGTGATTATCAAATTCATGTATTGGAACTAATCAGTTTAACCCGAAAGAAACAAAATAACATTTATGAGTATCATTTGATGAAACAGACCAGCTTGTTTGCTCACCTGAACTACCAGTTTGGCCATGTGCGTCTTGCCGTAAATTTGGGGCTTATACGAGACCTTGATAAGTGTTCCTTCAGTACCTGCAGGAGTTAGCTCACCGGATGTTGGGGTTACTGTGAACTCCAGGTCAGAATTAGGAGCAAAAAACGCTTCAAACGGAAGAGCGTGTCTAAAAGAGAGAACGAATATAAAGTCAAAGATGAACGAATTTAATATTTGTTTACACCTTTGCCTCGAATGAGTGTAAAGGAAAAGCAGAACACTAAGTGTATGCTTCCAAAATTGTCCGTATCTTGTTTTATTGAACTTCTAACTGATTTGTTCAAACTTGACTATATTTCTCTTCTGATGCAATTTAATAAATGAAATCTCTCGCTACTCGCTCCACTTACCTCATTTGACTCGTCATTCTAAAACCCACAACTGACTCCATGTTCAGTCCAACAGAGTCGATAGTAATCGTATCGTCTACTTCTGCTTCAGTGGCAAGCACTCTCAGTGGAAATCTCCAAACCCCACCGGAAGCTGCTGATATCATTAACTGCGTTTTGTGGCTGAAGACAAAAACAGCAACAACATAATAGCAAGCGATCTTAGTTACTCTACATCACAGTCACGGTCATAGCGACCGTGTCTTACATTAAAAAAAAAAACAAAAAACAAAAAAAAAAACAGTAATTTAAGGTAGAGGCAGAAGTTCTAACACCTCCTTAAAAAACAGGCTTGGTAAAACGAATATCTGAATATTTCAGTAAAAAAAAAATAAAAAAAATCAGAATATCTTTTTGGAGTGGTTAGTGGAAACTAGTAGGGGGCAAAGCCAACACAATCCCAAAACGGTGTAGCGTTCGTGTGTGATCAGGTCGCTACTCCATGGCAACGTGCATTTGATTTACTGATTCTGGTTACATTCATCGCCAACTTACCTAAATGGCTTGAATGGTGAGAATACAAAGTTGAACACAAGAATGACCACTCCTGACACTTGATTCTTGATTTTTCTTATTAGACTCACGCCCAGCGATCTTTCAAGACACGTCTGACATTCTGCATCTTCATAAATTAGTTCATACCTACCGGGATTTTACGATGATTTCTTTAAGCAATTAAACGTAAAACTTCACCACGTCATACTAGAGCTATTTTATTTCACCTACATTGGCCTTCCAGGCCGGAGTCTCTTTTGATTCATTGCTAGTTTTTTCCCTACCCCGACGGAACTCGCATAATTATTTTGCAAAGTGCAAAATATACGCGAGAACTAAACGTCAAACCAACGAATGAGCCGTTATGGCGAATGGCTTCAGTAAAACAATAGGAAAGAGATATTGCCAGTCGGCTGGCGTTTCTATAAAAAGAACCAACAACTTTCTGTAAAGGACTTAAAAGGGAGAGGGAAGCAAAGCTAGTTAGGAATCGCGAAAAACTCATTTGAGTGGTCTTCTTTATGAGAATCTGATCATAAGTTTCACTCAGAGCTAATCATGGCTAAAAACCATAAGGTGTGTCCTATACTCTTACAAGAAAAAACAACTTTTCATTGCCGTTTCTTTTCAAGGTCATTAGGTCTTGAGGAAAAAAGGCACCTATGGGACCATCAGTTTGAATGATTCATTTTGACAGTTCGCTCAGGTTTTTCTAAAACCACAAAATTCCCCAAACGAAGACAAGACTAGCCATAATTATAAGTAGTATATACCCCATACATGAATAGTGCTTTCCGCGCGCGCTGATTGGCTAGATCGTAAATGATCAGGAAGTACTATTCATTTCCGAGCAGCCGAAAAGACGGAATAGCGCGTTAAGACTTTAATTTCCGCCAATTTTTCAGTATATTGAAAGAAAAAAAAAATATATTTTTTGTATCTGTGTGGTATAGACCACAAAAATTATTAGCCTCGGTGTAGGTGAAAGTGCTGAATATTTATCGAACACTATTCACATCCACTTCTGTGAATAATTATAATTACCTGAATTCCTCTGGCACATTCAAGTAGTCCACTCCATATTCCATTTCTCCGGGCAGGTGGCGCCCTAGTAAATTGATGGGAGTGATGCTAGGGTAACGCCCAAAGCCCGAACTGGCATTATTAGGGGCCACTCCGGTAAGCATTACTTCAAGTCTCTCTTCCACTCGGCTCCGAGCCTTACACTCGATACACGGGGCTTGGGACTCTTTGATTGGACATGACTCAGGGATACCCCGGACAGGAAATATCCAGTGAAGATCATTCACCATACGCGTGCTCATCAAGCTTGGATAGTTCCCATTCCAATTGTCTTCAGTATCTCTGTGTATGGTCACAGTTACTGTAGCCTCGTATAGCTGCATGGTGTCCGGCGCAAAGGATATTGGGATATCCAGGATAGCTCCTGGCTCTAAGATTATCCCTTTAGCTCGTTTAAGCAGAAGACAGAACACTGAGTCTTTGGGTTGAGTGTCAATACGCAGGCTTGTAAACAACGAGCCTAAACACGAGAAATCGGGTTGGGATTAAGGAAAGGGTAGGTACTGAAAAATTCATATCTGTAATAGCGTGCAACCTATCATGTACTATAATAATATGGGTTATTGACTAAGCGTGGGGCACGATGGCTGGATATTGGCCGAGTTTTTTTTTTTTTTTTTATACGTTTTTATGGTCCGAGACAAAGTTGAGGTCCACAGAAACACGAAAAAAGAACGAGGTTAATACCCAGCTATCTTCAACGAACAAGTTTGATCAATAAAGGATTTAATATATAGCCAATAAGTTTTGGATACTATAGGAATCTATAATGACTTGTTCATTATGAGAGCCGGAAAAGAAATCGAACACTGTTTGTAGCCCAATAAACCCATTGTCGAAAAATTAAAACTTTGTTAGTCCGCCTTATGTAATTTTTTCCTTGCGCGGGATCAAGGCGGGGGATCCCGAGTGGACAAGATTGGCCCATCTAGCCCGCTTGGATTCGTTTCAAATTGCCAACGCGCGCTGCCGGCTGTATATTAATAAATAATAACGATAAATAATAGTCATAATATACAATAAAACCTGTATTAAGCGGTCATCCAAAGGGAATGGCGAGGTGACCACTTAATACGTGTTGACCGCTTAATACAGGTTCCACAGAATAGGGATTTTATCAAAAACGATAAGAGACGCCACTTAATGCCATATTTGATCCCTCAATATACAAAAACTCGCTTTAAAATACAACTAACGTTGGTTTTGGGAGAAGAACATAAATTAAAAGCTACTTGAAAGATTTTCTTAGTTGTATTTGTTTTAAATGACCATTCAATACAGATGGAAAACAACACAAACAGGCCATTAGGACTTTTGAATAAAGGCTGATAGTTTCGAAAGAAACTGTTTGGGGCTGCGTCGGTGGGAGTAACGAAATAATTTGGATATATCAACAAAGTTGAAATGGTAAATTGGCCACCGTAACGATTACAAAAGCTGACGTTTCGAGCGTTAGCTCTTCGTCGCAAAAAGCGACCACGACCGCTTAAAAGAGGTGAAAATTACAGTGATTAAGGAAAACAAATTCGCCGACTTTGACAACCCACCGGTGCCGCTAAATACAGGTTCGACTGTGATAATGGTTGTTAAAATGAAATAATCCGTTCAAAACTGTAATTTAGAATCAGGGAGGGCTCAATTTCAAGTCCAATTATGACGAGGGTTCCCAATATGACTTGCTTCTCTTAATAACCAGAACCAGATACACATGTTGTTTACAGACTAAACCTACCACTCCGTGACAGCAGCCGCTCCTTCATTATGACGTCCACGATGACTTGACGTTCCGTGGGGTTTTTAAACGGAATAATAACAGACGAGTTGCCTCCAAGTTGTGAGTAGATGTTGATTGGATCCACAGGTCCTGGCATCATTCCAGTACCAGAGGCCAGAAAAACCCATCTGCCAAGCTTAAAAAAAAAAAAAGAAAGTAATTCCACCATTAAAATGTATACTGTATACTACTGTACTGTACTACTGTACTGTACTACTGTACTGTACTAATATACTGTACTGTCCTAATGTACTGTACTACTGTACTGTACTACTATACTGTACTACTATACTGTACTACTGCAGTACTGTACTGTATCATACTGGGTACCCAATTCCAACTACGGCTCTAGCAAACTGATGGCTAAGAAAAAAGTAATTAAAATGCGTCGCTTTCCAGAGGCGGGACTCAACGCCTTTGGGAGATGGGTTAGCGCACATAGTTGGTTTGCACACGCGCGCGCAGTTGACTCCTTACCGGTGGATAGTCTGACATCGTCGTTTTCTGATGTCCTCTGTAACGCAATCAACATCTACTTCCCGGCCAAGAGTGTCAAAATACATCTGACTGACAAACCCTGGATGTCTGCCGAAATCAAATCATTAATCCTGGAGTGACAGTGTGCATATCATTCTAGGTCTAAAGATAGATGGCGACTCCTCAGGAATAAGGTGCGCATGGCAATCTGTAAGCGCAAGAGGGAATTCTTCGCCCGTAAGGTAATGAGTCTCAAAACCTCAGACCCTGGTAGCTGGTGGAGCCTGATGAGCAAGCTTGCTGGCAAATCTTCTACCGATTCTGAGTTAAACTATCCTGACGAACATGGCAACATTATCTCGGGTAAAACCCTTGCCACTCGTCTGAAAAGTTATTTCATATCTGTTACATCTGACATCCAACCACTCGATACCGCCGCCCTTCCTGTCTTCTTACATCGCTGGACCAACCACCAACTATTACCACTTCAGCTGTATGCCGTAAGCTACTTAGTCTAAGTACCTGCAAAGCCTCAGGGCCAGATGGCATTCCTGCGCGCCTCTTCAAAGAATTCGCACCCGAGCTTGCTGAACCAGTAACTACGATCATCAATTGCTCAGTGTCATCTGACGTGTTTCCAGAACGGTGGAAGGACTCTCATCTAACACCCGTCCCAAAGGTCAAACCAGTCACAGGTGACGGAGACTTGAGACCTATCGCCTTGACTCCAGTGCTTTGTAAGGTGCTTGAGGATTTCTTTGTGGAGTGGCTGATAGACGACGTTAAACATCATATTGATCCCTAACAGTTCGGCAGCCTTAAAGGTTCTTCCACAACCTACTGCCTATTGGACATGCTGCACAGCTGGCTGTCGTCCCTTGACTGCCCTGGCAAGTTCCTCCGTGTGTGCTTTTTAGACTTTAGCAAAGCATTTGATCATATTGACCAAACCATCTTGGTGACCAAGCTAATCCATCTAGGTGTTAGAGGATGGTTGATCAGTTCAATGCTTTCAATAAGATTTGAAATAGGTGGCTACCTCGGTACAACACCCGCCGGAAAGAGACTTGATTGAGACTTGAGGTGGTGACTGTGACTTGAGCGCGGTGAAATATACCGGGCGATTCACAACAGAATACCCGCCGGAGCTCCGGCGGGTGCCGGGTCTTATTGAAAGCACTGTCAGTTGGATTTGCAGCTTCCTCAGTGGCCGCCGTCAGGCCGTTAAGCTCTTCGACTTCATCTCAGAGTGGATGCCCGTACATGCCGGGTGTCCCCCAGGGCACCAAATTGGGTCCAATCCTTTTTCTGATGATGATTAATGACCTGGCTACTCACTTCCCCCTCCGCTCGAGCCACTGGAAGTACATCGATGATGTTACAATATCCGAGGTTACCAGTTTGGGGAAGGCGTCATCACTACAGAACGAGATCGACTGCATTTCGCAATGGGCCCAGCAGAACAACATGAATCTTAACCCTAAAAAATACAAGATCACAACCATTTGTCCACTCAAAACTAAGCCTGTCCCCCCAATGCTCTCCATCAATAATTTACATCTAGAGGCTGTTTCATCCTACAAAGTACTCGGCCTGACCCTGAGTGATACCCTGAAGTGGAATGACAACACCAACGTCATCGTTTCCAAGGCGTCCAAGCGATTGCACATTCTCAGGGTCTTGAAGCGCGCTGGGGTCCCTCCAGTGGATTTTGTCAACATCTATTGCGCTCTGGTTCGCTCTTTTCTAGAATACTGTTTTGTTGTCTGGGCTACCAGCCTTCCTCGCTTCCTCATTGACCAACTAGAAGCTATCCAGAGGAGGGCTCTGCGAATCGTATATCCTGACCTATACTATCAGCAGGCTCTTGTGCAAGCTAACATTTTACCAGCTTAGAGGATAGACGCGCCCACCTGTGTCTCAAATTGTGGCACAATATCAAAAATAATCCGGCCTGCTAGCTGCACCGTCTCCTCCTTCCCGTGCGATCCGAGTACCACTCTTACTATCTTAGGAACAGTAGCAGTTCAAGCCGTTTTCAGTATAGAACAAAACGCTTTGGTTCTAGTTTTTTCCCAGCAATGGCGAAAATCAACTAGTCTCATGAGTTTGGTTATCTTTTTTACAGCACTTTATCTAAATCTGAATTGTAAATAATCTATAATTACCCTGTAATCCCAGTCCCTTTGAAACAAATGTAATTTTATTTCTTGTTGTAACTTATGTGAGCACATTGTAATTCATAGTTTTTATGCTACCATGTGTATTTTAATAAACCATTATTATTACTATTATTAATATTATTATTATTATTATTATCATCATCTTTGAAATGATTATCCTTTCCCAAAGCTTGAGATACCACAAATCGCTAAAATGTATTCAAGGAAATAAACTACCTGAGAGCAATGGAAGGAAATCTCCGCAGAGTGTAGTTGTCCGATAGCCGATGGAGTAAATTTAAGCGGTATTTCAAGCAAGCCACTTGCACCCAACAATATCTGTTTTGTGTCATCCAGTTCCAGACTGAAGTTAGCTGCGTTTGAGCTGTAAGGTGTGAGGACTAGAGATTCGTCTGTTGGATTCTGGAGGCGAATCATCTGATAAGTAGACCTGAAATAAATTAATTATGGAGCAATTCACTGAGGGTCACATATTCGAGTAGGCGCCACTTTATAACATTGGCAGATGGCGATCAGGTTTTTGATGACAATTGTTACAAAAAATCTCTAGTGAGTATAACGCTGCGCAAAATTGTGTCGCACAATCTGAAAATATATTCACAAGAGGTGATCTGACCTGAAGACATAATTATACCAGAAAAAGTAGCCCTGACAGTGTTTATCACATCAATACAAGACGAGCAGTCTACGAGTTACGTATTCCTTTTAAACTGTTTGTAACTTACTTGCCAATCTCGCAATGAATTGAGGGAAGGTGTAACGGTAGAGGAGTGGTTGCCTTGAGCATAAGATCGTACCAAAACTCTCCTACTGCTTCATGTTGGAAGATTACACTGAAAACAGAAGCAAAAACAAAGTATGTTATGTAATAAGTATCACAAGTACGCCCTGTTAAGCAAACTAATAGTGAGAGATAGTTCATTCGTTACCTGCCGGTATATTCGCCAATCACAGTTGGGGCAAACGTCACTTGATATTTGACTTGCTGTCGGGGGTGCAAGACAATTGTGGGCTCACCAGACAAAGCCACGCCGTCAACGAGTACGTCCATAACAATTCTATCTCGAGTGGGATTAGTCACTGCTATTTCAACTGCAACTGCTGAATGTGCTGCGCATGTCACTTCTAGAGTTCTCTCGGGCTGAGGTCCCGAGGCTTGAATTTCCACAGTGTACCACAAGCGGTAGGGTCGTAGTTTAGGATCATCCACAAGCCCCTGAGATAAGAGTTCCTCAACGTCATCGTTAGGAGCCCTAGAATTCATAAAGCCATCATGTTCCTCGTCATCTCTCACTCTGAAGCAAAAAAAAAAACATTAGGCAGTCGCATCGTGATTAGAATAAAGCATACGTAATAAAGGCGAGGCTTGGAATTGATTTTCTCGTCTTGGTACCTTGTGGTATCATTGCTTCCAGAACACTCTCCAGATGACACAAAGGAAACGATTCCATTGAATGTGCCTCGTTTCCAAGGTGAGACCGTGATCACGTGTTCTGCAGTCTTGCCTGGAAGGACTGTGATTGCTGATGGGCCACTAACAATATCGAGATCAGTCTTGACCTGAAAATACAACAAGAAATGAATGAAGTTTCAATCTGATGGCTGAGACCTCGTTACAAAATGGAATTGAATTAAATATGTATACTTACCTGAAATATGAGTTTATTTTTCGTCACATTTGGCACTTGCAAGGTATAGGTTGCACTAAAGTAAAGGACAAATGGAAACATCAAGTGATTATCTGGGATTTCCGAGGCTCAGATTAATGGTGAAATGGGGCGAGCAAGGGAGAAGCGGGAGGAAAAAATAGAGCAAGGATGTTTACAGGCAAACAATTAAGCAATTAGTCACTTGAATTCCAAGGAAAACACACAGCCAGTAACAACTGCACACAAAAATAAATACAAATAGGCTTGAAAAGTTTTAGTTTAAATCCAGTTCCAATGATTGATAAAAAAAGCTTTTGATACGTATGATGCACGATCCTCGCAGTAGAGAGCGCCATTTATGTAATAGCGAAAATCAGACCTGAAAAAAAATCAGGCCTGTACGGGATTCGAACCACTGACCTCTGCGATACTAGAGCAGCGCTCTACCAATTGAGCTAACTTTTAAGCAGGTTAACTTGAGAGAGAGCTTTTGAGCCGCTAATGACATAAGTGAAGACAAGGAATACTGACCTTTGTTTAGCAGGACACTCTATCAAGATGTGATCCAGCGGATGCGGCTTTTGTCCTGTTCCCATCAGCCTGTAGACCTGCTCTGTGCCGTCTAAAGTGTTCGTCAACACAAGCTTTCCCTATGAGACAACAAGTGTTTAAAGATATCATAGATACATTTCCGTAACAGTTCTGAGCGCTGTTGGTCGAACTTTTTGTTCAGTTACCTCAACATGTCCTTCGTAACAGGGTTTAAACATCAAGGGGTAGCTGGTGGTGAGCCGAGATTTTGCTACCATGACAGGCGGTCCATAGAATCCCTCTCCCTCCAGGCTTGCCGCCAGCTGCCAGTCCTGATTACTTTGGTTCACCTGTAAATTCAAATTCAGGTTAACTTGACGACGCTGCAGTTAAAAGAACCATAATTATTAAGGCTTACTATCATCTTTTACGAATCAATTAAACGTTACTCCAAGCTTTCAATCAAACCTCCTCTAGTATTAACTTTGGATTTTACCGGAAAACCAGTGAGAAGAAAAATTCTAGTAAACCTATCGTGAAGTATTCAGAGAGTTTATGGTAAGTGTCACCATTTGTTCACCCAGCGACTTTTGGTCTCACAAGATTAAGATTTTTTATTTCAAACTATATCATAGTATTCGTCTGGTGCTTCATTCATGTTAAGAATTCACAACATCCTGTATTTTATTACCATTTCAGCCAAAAAAGTACGGCATCAGTTACTTTCAGTTTATTCTGAGAGAGATTTTCATGGGTACAAACCTCTCTTGTTTCCTTTGTTCCACATGGAAAATTTCTGCCAATTTCTATTTGTGATCCAGAATCCAGGTATTTCTCCACAATTTATGAAAGTGCTCTACTTCCAATTAACAGACATCAGTGTTTTAACAATACGACTTACCACAGGTATGTCCTGAGTAACTGATTGATGTGTTGGTGATGTGAACTCCAGCTCAAGAGCTGAGCCAACGGGAGTCACTGTACATTCCAGTTGATATACTCTCATATCATGCGCTGATTTAAGAACAATTCGACAAGGGTAGTGCCCAGGTCCATTAGGTTGAAAACTCACTGGTAATGAGACTGTATTCCTCAAGGGTCCAGACTTAAGTGTGCCAGACGTCAACTCGGCTGAAATGAGATTAAACGTGAAACTCAATAAAAAAAAGTTCTGTAAAGCTCTCTATTTCCAAAAGGAAATTTTGTTCAAAGCAACTAGGAACGTTAAAATAGTCTATCCAGACAGAAGCTGCATATCAAGGGTAAAATGTTTCAACAAGATTTTTCCATAAAATTTCAGAGCAATCAAAATTCAAAAAGAAAAGAAAATTCATCTTTCACTCTAAAAAGAAGCCAAACCAATAACAGGGCACGCATTTTAATAACTCACCACTCTTTTGGTCGATACTCGCCGGTATGATAACCTTGGAAGGAGCCTGGAAGTACTTGGAGCTCAGCTCTGTGTGAAACTCAGTGATTTCTCTTTCAAGCGCCTTCTTCATTTTTGAATCCCCAGGATGCAAGAATTTGTCGCCTCCCAGGCCTAACGCGGCCACACTTGCTGTTACGGAACAGCTGGTTAAGGTGCCTGTCAACATTCGGCGCTGAAACTCCTGTTCTGACATACGCTGCTGAGCGGCAATTGCTGAGATTCACCAAACAAACGAAAACTCAAATTTCACAAACTCACAAAAGACAAGAAAAAAGTCTAAATATCAGTTAACCTGATCAAATCCAGACAACTCACCTAAAGCATTTTCTCTTGTCTCATTAACAAGTGGGATGTATAAGTCCTCTGTAAAAGACTCGTCATTATCACATTTCCAGTACACCACCCTCTCGTCCCCACCGAATGCCCCCCTGCCAGTCCTGGCTGCCGCAGCGCTGCTGATCCGAACACTGTGTGGGGAAGCGACCACTGGCACGGGGGAGGGCAGCGGAGGAGTGGCAATCGCCTCAATGCAGTAGAGAAACTCGCCAATCTTCTCATTGATAAAGAGGATTGAGCACTGCCTAAAACCAACATCAAAAGGTAAGAAGTGGATTTCTGCTGTAGCGCTGCAGTTAGCCTCAAGGTGAATGTTTTTGATGGGTGACCAGAAAGCACTCAGTGTAGGAAGAGATGGAGGGGCTGTTGAATACAACAAAACACGGTTAGAATGATAACGAAACAGCTGAACAACACAGTAGACTATGGCTGGTTAGATCAATGATAAAAAAGCAAACCAGACTTATTTAGAACACTCTACTCATTCGTTTTCTTTACAAATTCCGAGCGTTAATATTGTGTCTAACATTTTGTCGAAAATTGACGAAAAGAAAGCCACTGGTCTTGATATAATTCCGAGTAAATTATTGAAAATGGCTGCTTATATCATCGCACCCTCTCTCACCTCAATCTTCTCTAAGTCTATCCTCACGGGGATATATCCAAATGATTGGAAAACGGACAAAGTGACTCCTCTTTTCAAAAAGGGTATTAAACCGGATCCTAACAACTATAGACCAATATCTGCAATCCCTATAATTTCCAAAGTTTTTGAAAGAATTGTTTACAATCAACTTTTTCGTTATTTAGATGATAACAAATTGCTATTGGGTTGCCAATCAGGGTTCCGTTCTCTACATAGTACGCTTACGGCTTCGCTTGAGGCAACAAATTCTTGGTCGGTAAATATCGACAATGGTCTCTTAAACGGCGTTGTCTTTATTGACCTTACTAAGGCATTCGACACCATTGATCATGAAATAATCTTGCGCAAGATGTCATACTTTGGTGTCGATCTGGCAGCTATTAAGTGGTTCTCGTCGTACTTGAGTGGCCGAACTCAGAGGTGTAGTGTCGGTGGCAAACTATCATCTGCCCGTACTCTCAGTTGCGGCGTGCCGCAAGGTAGCATATTGGGTCCTTTGCTATTTTTAATATACATTAATGATCTTCCCAACTCCCTGCGGGGCGCCGCACCAAGAGTGTTTGCCGATGATACCAATCTTACGATATCTGCTAAGACATTAACAGAGCTTGAGCTAGCTCTAACCCCTAAATTGAATAACCTCAGCCGTTGGCTGAAAGCTAACAAGCTCAGTCTAAATGTTGCTAAAACAGAGTTAATGATTATTGGATAAAGAAAAAGACTATCTGCCCAATGTAACGACTTAGAAATCAGAATTGATGACTAAATTATCAAGAGAGTCGACAAGACCAAATCTTTGGGTCTTACTATAGATGCCTAACTCTCTTGGGGTAGCCACGTTGAAGAGATTTGCAAGAAAGTCTCTTCAGCTATAGGCGCCCTAAAACGTGTACGGCCCTTTATATCCAAAGAAACTGCAATTCAAATTTAAAACGCTTTGATTATGCCTCATTTTGATTACTGCAGCCCCGTCTGGGACTGTTTAAGTGGCTACTTAAGCGATAAGCTCCAAAAATTACAGAATCGAGCAGCCAGAATTATTACTAAATTACCCTTTGATACGAGCTGAAACCACCTTCTCTCCACCCTCGATTGGGAGAGGCTATCTCTTCGACGAGAGAAACAAAAAGCCCTAGTGATGTATAAAATTATAAACAACCTTGCTCCCGAATATCTACAAAGTCTTTTCTCTCAGCGTCACTCTGTGTACGACATAAGAAACTCTGAGGGAAGGCTAGCCTTGTCCAAACCAAACACCAATTATTTGAAACGAAGCTTCTCTTACAGCGGGGCCATGTTATGGAATAAATTGCCCAAAAACTTAAAAAATGCTTCATCCATTCACCATTTTAGGCGAAATCTTAACGTAGTCGATATATAGGATTCCCACACGGCAATCATGTAAAGCAGTTGATTAATCTTAGTTTTTATTATGTAACTGATGATTTTCCGTGTTAAATAAAGATTTACATACATACGTACAGAAATACGGAAATACAGTCACTCTAAATTACCTCACCGTACAACCACTGGCTTTAGAAAGAGCTATCATATATTAACCACACGGTAAGTGTTACTGATACCAGATAACTCAGGTATAAACAAAATTTAGTTTACATATAATTCAAATAAGGAGTTAATTTTTTTTTGCATAGATCATGATGGAATCCGTTTTTTCACTATGAACCCTTTCTCGTATCCGACAACGGCCTATTAGGAGACGTCCGTCATCGACTCATGATCAAGATCCCGAGCCATGTAATTTAAGATCCCGGCTAGTTGAAGACAGATCGACACCCAGCTTAGCCAGGGTACTGCCGTCATGGAGATCTCTATTACGCTGATAGAGTGGAGCCGACAGACTCACCTGTGACTGCCTCCATCTTATGTTGTTCTATTTTGGGTGCAAACTCTCTTCTAGGCGACTTGATCATTTGCCTATGAACAACAAAAATACTCTCCGTTTCTTTGTATATCAACCCAATCGAACGTAACAGTTTTTAATTCCTGCGAGTTAAAGAAATAACGTCTAAACCTCTACATACCCATGATCAGTCCTTGACCCAACCTTCTTCAGTTTCTTACTAGACTTTGAGGCCTTCACTTTTGGCGGCGATGTCCCTGGGAACGAATTCCGAGCTTCTACCAGCACAATGCGAAACTCTCCGGATGACGGAAATGGGTTGGTGACGTCAAAGTTCACCATCTGAAGTTGGTAGCACGGTGACTCGCTTGTAATTGTTGCCTTCAACGAAAATGTTTAAACAAACAAATCACTAATAATAATATTAATAATAACAAGGAGATTGGTTTGAACTAAAGGCTAAAAACTGATGGTGTGGAATGATCGTCCAGGTGAGAGTGTTCCAGAAAAGTAGAGTTCTTAGTTGTGTTGAAGAGTTAACTGAGGAGGTGTTTATCCGTTGAGTCCTGTAGGTTTGGTTCGTGTAAACCGATTGATTAGTTTTTGGCCGTTAAGTAGCAAGCTGTAATTATAAAATACCGTAAGTCGGTCGTGATTGGTCAATTTCAATCCGTCAGTTAAGTACGGTTGTTCCGTTGGGTTCATTTGTTCGGTTCATGTCGTGTATAAGTCGTGTGAATTGGACCAATAATGTTCTGGAAAACAGTTTATTTCAAGGCTATCCTCCGGCCCGGACGATTACACCACACAAAATGTAGTTTAACCGTACACATATACTAAATTTTTTCACAAAAGTCACAATATTAACTACACAGCGATAGGCAGTCAGATGTGAGGTGTCCTTACCACAGGCACAATGTTATTGATACAGGTTTCCAAAGTAAACACCAATGTATTACCACATGGACTTCCCTCCCGTTTTCCAACTAGAACCAACGTTGCATCACACGGTCTGAGAAAACGGCTCTTGAACTCAACTGGCATCTGCAGCTGGCCTTTAGGTGAAACCTAGCAAAGGCCGGAAATACAGTCACTCTAAATTACCTCACCGTACAACATAATCTGACATAATCAATGTTATCATCACTCACCTGAATTGTGTCTCCCATTGGTAACCGAAAGTCAGCCGCGTCCTTCCCCACCAAAAGAGCCTGATACACGAGGGGTTTGGTGCTTGGATTTTGAAGTCGAACCTATTGTAAGAAATAACTGGTTGGCTGAGCCTCTCAACTGATAGCTTAAATTAAAGCGAGGTTTATATCCATGTCTAGAACTAATGGAAACAAAGCCTTACATGTTTTGTTATTATATCATGCAGAGATCCTTCAAAGGTGACCGTGGCGCGTGGCAAGTAATGAGGTAACCGCTGGTATAGATGAATGCACAACAGGACAACTGCGACAGGGTTCGGCTCCGTTAGATCTGTTGGCTGCAATAACGGCAAAAATAAACAACCAAAGTAAATCAGTGGTTATGTTAGATCTGTTGGCTGCAATAACGGCAAAAATAAACAACCAAAGTAAATCAGTGGTTATGTTAGATCTACGTATATGAGAACGATCCTTCGCATATACGTCTCATAACCGCAGTTCACACATATGTTTCATATGTTTGTTGTTGTATGTTAGATCTGTTGGCTGCAATAACGGCAAAAATAAACAACCAAAGTAAATCAGTGGTTATGTTTATTATATGATGCATAGCGTTGGTAAAGAATGCACGCGGTGAATGAAAAGTTAATTGGTTAACTACCTGAAAACATAAAGAAATCCCATAAAAACCATTTAAAAGAGGCTTTGCGGAAAAGTGTCTGAAAATGTCCGTGAAATGTGTTTTCCAGTTAACAATAATGAGCTCGTTTGGACCGAGAAAATTACATAAAATAAAATCTAAAAAAAAATCACTCCCGCGCTCTGTTTGGTGGTTTTGTAATGTGAAATAAAATAGCCTGTGAAGTCATTAATATCTAACCTGAATATCATAGTCCAAACCAATGTGCCTGAGAGCCTCGACAACCTTGATCACATTATGAAGGCACTGTTCCGCCTTGCTGGGCCGGGTGTACATGGAATGAAGATGGGTTGAAATCTGCAAACACGAGTCATAAACTCAGAGACAGAGGAACCCTCCTTTTTACTAACATACATCAGCTATGATCCTGGCTCGTCGCCGCTGTTATGTTATCGCAACCGAAAAATGTTGTGAAGGGTTGAGAATAAAACAAAATTACCCGTAGAGATTAAAATACATAATACAGGAACAATGTCTTACCACAAATGGCACATGAGCGCTCACGAGAGCTGCTAAAACCAGTCCATCCATGAAATCGACATCAAAATTCACAATCCACCGGCACGGAGGACTGGATCCTACAAGGGCAGAGGAAATTCTAACGTCATGTGACAAGTAATACTCACAGCAAAAGTGGTCTGAAAAATCATTACAAAACGATACTCAACCCTCACTGAACCCACTGATGAGCGAAACAGACTTAGGGTTTGACATAGGGTTTAGACAACACGACTTAGTTTTCTGGTATTTAGATAAAACTAACTGATAAAAGCCACCATATCGGCGAACAGGTGAATGTCTAACAGAACAGGACCCAAACACAACGAATATAAGAAATTCATATATCTGAACTGCGGCTATAGAAACGTACTTGTGCACGATCCTCGCAGTAAAGAGCACTATTTAAGCAATAGTGAAAATCAAACCTGAAAAAATTCAGGCCTGTACGGATTCGAACCACTGACCTCTGCGATACTAGTGCAGCGCTCTACCAATTGAGCTAACAAGCCAATGCAACTGGGTGCAGGTCATCAAATTAATTCGATATAAACCTTTAAGATGATGAATCAAACACAACGAATATATGAATCCCGTACAGGCTTGAATTTTTTTCAGGTCTGATTTTCACTATTGCTCAAATAGTGCTCTTTACTGCGTGGATCGTGCACAAATACGTTTAAGAACAGGACTCACCACCAATAGCAACAGGCCAACTGGTGTTTCTCTGAACATTGTAATGATGGTTGATCCACGCTAACAAGATTCGCTCTCCCACACTATAAACATTGCTAGTCAGTGGATCAGGATTCACTTCAGGAAGTGGAATGACCTTGTTGGGAAACTGAAGCTTCCTGAACTGATGCGGGGTGATGCGACTCAGAATTAACACCTAAAGTGAAATATGAGAGGGTAAGTGACAAGTCTGGGAAACACTTCAACGAAAAAACTCTTAACAAAAGAAGTTACAAGACTGAAGTAATTCTCTCTTTAAACACAACGAATATATGAAATTCACATATCTGAACTGCGGTTATAGAAACGTACTTGTGCACGATCCTCGCAGTAAAGGGCACTATTCAAGCAATAGTGAAAATCAGACCTGAAAAAATTCAGGCCTGTCCGCAGTTCAGATATATGAGTTTCATATATTCGTTGTGTTTGATTTATCATCTTACGGGTTTATGTCGGACTAATTTGATGACCTGCTCCCAGTTGGCTTGTTAGCTCAATTGGTAGAACGCTGCACTAGTATCGCAGAGGTCAGTGGTTTGAATCCCGTACAGGTCTGAATTTTTTCGGGTCTGATTTTCCCTATTACTTAAATAGTGCTCTTTATTGCGAGGATCGTGCACAAATACAATTCTCTTTGTCAAACAGACGATATTACCTTGACGAGTTGTGACAGGATATAAGTCCATGCCTGGGTCGAGCAAGTCTCAAACCGAGCTACTTCTAACTTGTTTATCCCTCTTTCTCTGCCGGAATCTTCTTTATCCATTCCTTTCAGTTTTCTTTGGATTTTGTGCCAGCGGATATAGTCAGTGGTATCTAACAAGTCTTCTGGTTTGACATGAGCCACCATTGCACCCTGCGTCCTACATGAAAGCCAGACACGCAATTAGCAAAGAAACTATCCTCAGTTTCATGTAACTATAATAACACCCTGGCGACAATACACAATACACCAAGAGACGGTTTATAATATCTCGAATACACACAACAGGTTGGACAATAAGCAGACGGCTTTAATTGAATAAAAACAGATGTACATTGTAAGAGGTCCTAAGAGATATTCTCCCCCTTTCGTTCCCCGAAAAACACATAAGAAAGAAGTGATGTGATGAGTACCTCAAAAACGTAAGAAGTGTGCTGTACATCCAGTGAATTTGCCGCACACGATCAACTGGACACGTTGGAAGGGTAGATGCCAGTGGAATTCCTGGGAAAGGGCGACCGCACATATGACTGATCAGATCAAATGCTGACCTCAGCTCTATTTTGGAATTATTATCCCAGTTTGAAGTCCTTGCAGCCCCTGTGCCACCAACCTGAGGATCACTTGTATCCTGGAGGGCTGATCGCAGGGTCTGAGGTATTGCTATTGGGTAAGGCCCACCAGACCAGCCCTGTCCTGAGAAGTATCTGGAAAACAAATATGTATGTTGGAATGAAATATCAAGTTTTGCCATATATACACAGATGCAAAGTAGGTAATTTAACCTCTTTATGCGGTACCGTTAGAGTTTTTTCTCACCTCTGTATTGCACCAACAACTTTTCTCATGAACTTTCTCTCATCACTCTCAGCCCCAGGCCCCAAGACGAAGGTCCCATTTGTTTCAGACCCATCAGACAGCCCTCGAACAGGGCCCCCTGGTTGGGATTCCCCATGATGAGGCGTTGACGGGTAAGTTGATGAAGTGGCTTCATTACTTGACTCGAGATACGTTGACGTGCTGATACCAAAGCTAGTACTTGTTGCACTTGTTGAGGCTACTGTGGGCGTACGATTGGGGGTTATGCACGGCATGAACACAGGTTCCCCAGGTGGGTAGTCTTGGGTGTCTGTTTGTTTATCTTTAATGGATAATGCCTTTTGTTCACAGACGATATGAAAGTCAGTTTGGTGAGCGGCCAGGAAGGGATAACACGAGAACAAACAGTTATCAGCAGTGGCGGTCACAGGAAGTTCATAGCTAAAATGAAGAAAAATCAGATGAAAATTCTTTACGTCAATACAAACGTATGTAAGACGAGAATCAATAATTTATGGTTTTTACTGGTAAAAAAATCCTTTTGTACTTTGTCGTGCTAAGGTCAGCTTAATCAGATTTGGATAATCTAGTAGCTGGGTAATTTCCTTAGAAAACTAAGGACTCAAACTTAGCTTCTTCAATTTATGGTCATACTTTTCCTTTCCATCTGTGAAGACGATGGCTGTGTTGCATGTAACAGGGCTGGGGGACTGGAATGTCACAGTACATGGGATCACACAAGCTTGATTGTTGTCATCGTTAGTACAGCAGGGCTGGATTGACTGTCCACCAGGAAATGTTATTTCCAGTACCGATTGTAAGCTTCCATCCTCCAATTCTACTTGTGGGATTTCACAGTCTAAAACTGAAGCTCTGAAATGACAAATGTATATTTACTGAAATCACGAGCATGTGTGTACGTAATCTACAAGTATCTAACAGGTAGGTAAAATGTTTCTAATTGAATACGTAACAACTAATACAAAGCCAAATGAACACGAAAAAAATGGTCTGAGTAACAGCAATGATGATAACGTTTACGAAGTGGAATAACACTTGACGATAAGCAAACTATAACTAGTGGCCAGGACTGGTGGAACAGTAACGAGTAGATTCCAAGAAAGAGAAGTTGTATCAGCAAGATAGAAAACAAATTCCATAAGAATCGTGTTTGTTCCAAACACTGTACCTTCTGTATCCCCTTGCAGTAATGTTGAAGTTAACAGAGACTTTTGTATTAAGAGGAACAGGCATCAACCTAATACTCTCAGGATCAAAAGCGAGGCTTGGAGCCAGCAGTTCTCCTCTGAGAGTCAATGTCCGATAAGGTATGTCTCTACTGCCATTTAATATTACAGGAACATGTGCCACAAATAATCCTGGACTTTCTGTGGAGATTCAAAACATAACATAACATTTGTTCAGGAAGCTACAACGCAAATGTAAAAAATACATCCTGAAAAGGGAAAATCGTGAGGTTAGCCCTGTATAAAAACAATTTCCCTAAAAAGAAGTTACATGACAGATGATACCTCTTAGTAATCTTAGAAGGATTCCTCGACAGCTAAATTTTCCATCAACCATTTCAAAAACAATTTCCATCAGAATTGTTTGCACTTTCTTTTGTATGGAAATGCTTAAGTATCAATATTTCACAATCCAAGAGGAAGTGAAAGTCAAAGTATGACCCAAAGGCATTTATTAAATTTATCAACATAAGTGGTATCATCTATATTGATACAATGTACAAGTCACCTGTCAAATCTAGAAGAAGGCACTATCATCACAAAGGCAGCCACAAATGTATCTTTGTTAGCTTATGGACCGAGATGATAGCAACAACATCAGAATTGATCTCAACTTATGAAAAAACATCACAAGGCTTGCTTACGTGGAGTGAACAGAACTCCTAACTGAAATGTCTCTCCACTTTCCAAAGTAATATCAGGAATAAAGCTTTTCTTTCCTGCTGAAGATGGCGTGAAAGGTGACCCTGTTCTGTGAAGAAATTTAAAGGTTCCATCCTCCAAGAAGGGTCCTGCAGCTTTAGTGTGTAAAGTCCATGACAAGGGTTTGTCACTGTTGTTCACAAACAAACAGCCCTGGTAATCAGAAACACATTGTTCATTAATAATTTGACAAGAAAACATAAAAACCAAATGCTAAACCTGGAAACTATAACTTGATGACCACTCTTATCATTATCATTATCAGAACTATATTAACATCATTATTGTCATTAGGATTATTATTTAATCATAAATTGTATTAATGATGTATTTTTTAGTCTGATAACAAAACTTCAGTTTGTGTTATTCAATCCACAACTCACCTGAGCACGTCCTGCCCCAGATTCAATACCAAGGTCAAAGTAACCAGATGGAAGATGAAACTCCAAAACAGAGTGTGAGAGCTGAAGTGGGGGACGCAGAGCTGTTGCCACCACACGTCGACTGGGAGTGGCCACCCCAGCTAGGGATGGTAAAGGAGTTACGAGGTCAGATATGGTCCAGTTCATATGTGAGGGAGCAGGTGTAGGGGGAAAGGTTGAAGGTGCTGGGGTGGGAGCAACAGCGTGATTGATGCTGACGGGGATAACAAAATCATAAGATGCTACCTGAAAAAGAAAAAAAAAGGAAAAAGATAACTACCATTATCAACTCAAATATTAATCTTGATGATTGATTCAAAAAGTTGTGCAAAGAAATAAAAAAAATTATAGCAGAAAACTCCCCATAATTCAAAACATTAGGTATTTACTAAGTAAATATTTGCACCTCCGAAGGATGGAATTCTAGAGCACATTCCAAGACTTTTTGACCTTTTAATGAGACATGATAAACACCATTGCCATCATCCACTGGATCATCTGTGAAAATCATGAACAACAACTGTTACAATAAAATAAAAAATAACAATTCTACTGAACGTTAGTGATGGCAAGTCAGAGATACCAATCATCTAATAAAAACATAAAAAAAAATCAGTTTGATGAATTGCAGGCAAGTCAGAACCATCAAATGTATAGAAGGTAGATACATACCTTCAATTTCATTGTCTAGAAACTTGAGTGAAAAGTCCAGGAACCTACTCAGGTCAAATACCATGTCTGCTTGGGTGCGAGTCTGAACATTAAAAAGACTCTCGTTACCACAATATGTGACTTAAGCTATAGCAAACATATATTTTTCAACATACCTTGTTGGTTAAGAGAAATTTAATAGTTGCCAATGCACCACAGTGGACTCCACCAAACTGAAACAAATTCTGCAAAACAAAGCAAAATTCATTCATGAGCACTAACAAACAAGTATGAAGACCCACATGAACCAATGCAGTAAGTGAATCAATTAAGCACTATAGTAAGAAAAAAAAAAAAATCAATCTTAAGAATTCTAAATGGTTCTTCCTAAATAGTCAATTGAATATTAGTCAGGAGTAAGATGACTTTAGTGTAAACTGTGATGCCATAACAATGAAAAAGAGAGAGAAATATCCGAAAGTCACTGGTATTTAATTGACAAAGCTGATTTGAACAAAAGTTCTGTAAACTTACCACATCAATGTCCACACAAGGAGGTTCGACTGTACCTCCCACCCTCAGTGAGATGGTCTTCCAGCCTCGCACATTCACCTGAATATGAGTATCAAACTTGTGGATACTATTAGGGGTAAACTCCACCTAAAGGTTAAAAAAAAAATTGGTACTGCAAGTTAAAAAGCCAATGAACCCATTGGGGCAAGTGCACAGAGTTCGTCTGTTTATAGCAGCCTTTTTCCCATTAAAATTAATACCTCCAAGTAGTATCCATTGAGATGGGAAACTGATAAAATAGACCAGTCATGTCCAAATTAATCACTAATTTAAAAATCCTTTTTGGTTACAGAAATTAAGTTATTTTTTTGTAAAAAAAAGATCATTTTATTTTAGCATATCGAGTGGTATATTGCTTGCACCAATCAGATCATCACATTAAGGTATGTACTTGCACCAATCAAATCCCAGCATTGGGACATGTGTACACAAATCAGAGCCTCGGGGTACTGTCCCTCATGTCAATCATGTCACGGAATAAGGGTGTTGCAATCAAATCAATCCAACATTGATGCTCACTAAAAATGACATCAACAAAGAATTGTGAGTTTATCTATCCAGGGAAATAAATTTACTTTGTGTGGAGCAAAATGTGAGCATACCTAGTATGTTTTAACCTAATTGGGAAGGATCACCATACCCTGAATTAATTAACTCTGAGTTAGCTTGCACATTACCTGGAGTTCTGCTGTCCCACCGACGGGAACAATTCCTTCCTTTGGGGAAATGATCATGCCAGGAATAGGACAAGTGTCAATCACCTAATTTTTTAATGCATGAAAAATAGAGTTAATCATCAGCAAAAACATCTGTCATACATACACATTACCATTGCCTGGTTAGCTCCTGCTGTAGAGCGCCGGACTGCTGTGCAGGAGGGTAAAGGGTTCAAGCCCCAGACCGGACCAACACTCAGGGTCTTAAAATAACTGAGGAGAATGTGCTGCCTTTAATTTGCTATGAAATCTGCAAATGGTTACACATTCTAGTCTTCTCTGATAAGGAAGAAAAACTGTAGGCCCTGTCTCCTGTATCTTCTCTGTACTGGTTAGCAGGGGACATTTAAGAGCCCACACACCTATCTCAAAGAGTAGGGAACATGGCTCCCAGTGCTGTGGTCTGGCCTGTTTACTGGAAATTGGGGGCATCTGTTAGATTTTCCTTTATTCAGTGTAAACTGAATAAAGTACTAAGCAATCTGGTAAAGTACCCTGCACAGTGTTTTAATATTGGCCCTGAAAAGCCCCAATGGGGAGTGGTCAACTAACCTATGTATGTATGTATGCACAACTTGTATGTATGTATGTACTGCTCACTAGTATTGTTTTCCTCCAAATAACCCAAATATATGTGCAAGTATATCATTTTAAATTCATATACATTTCATGTAGTAGATGTTTCAGGAGATATGACAAACCTCAAAGTAAGCATGGTCCTGGCTGGTGTTTTGAAGTGACACACATTTCACTGTTGTTAAATGAAGTGGCACCGAGCCAAACAAAAGCCTTCTTTCCACAAATGTGCAGTGAGCAGAGCCAAGCTACAGCATAAACAATATTCAAGTTGAGATGATCGAAACCAATCAACATTGACCCCCTTATACAGCAAGTGAAGTGAACACTACCAACATTATGTTTGAGAGTTTACAGGTAGCAAATTTGAACCTACACATTCAATTTAAATACTCTAGGAGTACTATGTTTGTGGAATGTCAACAAAAGCAGCAATTCAACTATTACTAACACTCCTCCAACGTACATCACTGTACAATTACCTTAGCTATACAGGTCAGCAGCAAATCACTTCCTCCAGTTACATGAACAAGGAAATCTGTTTCCTCAGGAGCAGAAAATGTTGGTTGATACACAACCTCACACTCTAAGCTGGTAAATGCATCAACAGTGCCTAAAAAAAGGAAACATTTTAAAATTATATTTTTTTCCATTTTCTATCACAGTTCCTAACATGACTCTACCTCTGATAATATTGTTTCAACCCTGTCATTTGTATGTTTTGGTTCAAGTCTTACAATTCATTTGCTTCCACTCTCTCTGTTGAAGCTCAACTAAATAATATTGGCTTTAGGCAAAAATATCTCACAAATACATATATCTTATTAGACGTTTTGTTGTGTAGTATCGCTGAGTATTTTAACGAGTTGTGTCGTATTTTGATGAGCCCATAGGGCAAGTCAAAATACAAATAACAAGTAAAAATACTCGGCGATACTACACAACAAAACATCTAATAATTAATTATTTATTATCCAACACACCAAACTGTTATCAGTGCGGGCGAATTTCGCGGATATTTATTTACGGGAGTGCGTGACAGAAGTATGCGAAGCGGAACGGAATTGGCGCGTTGTTGTGTTGCTGTTTCTATTTTCTTCATTAAATGAAGAAATTTTCTGGTCGTCAAGCTGTTTTTCTTCGTTCGATTCATCAAATGAACTTGGATCTATATTTGCCAGCCATTCTAGCTCTTCGTCGTCGGAAATATGATTCAAATTGTCCGCCACNAGCAAAATGGTGTTAACTTGTGAGTATCGTTAAAAGCTCGTTGCATGCAAATTATAAAGAAAATCTAATGACTAGATTTTCTACAAATAAAAAAAAAACAGATTTTAAAGGCCTGTTTATATTTATTCATGTTGCCATGGCAATGGCACATACATCAGCTTAACTATGAAAAAAACAAAGTTTGTGTTGTTAACTTGCTTGCTGCCAGTTTTGGCGACCGAGAGATCAAGGGTTTTTAGAGAAATGGTGAAAGAAACACAGGTATCAAAAACTGTGTTCAGCCACCTTAAACCTCCAGCTAATTGAAATTGTCCTTTTTACAAGGCAAGCAATTTCATCCACAGAAATAATGTTCATAAAACCCACCTGAATCAACCAATAAGCCTGAAGAAGGTCTAAGCAAAACTTTATCACTTGACAACTCCAAAGCTACTGAAACAACTTCTGCCAGGACAACAATGTGTTGATGGTGATAGCCATTAATGCTATAATTAATGCTCCTACAAATTAAAAATATTTTTTAATTATTACAAAAACAGATTTCAAACCTTTGCTGAATATCAACAAATTTTTCTCTTACCTTTCAAACCTGCCCCTTACATTTGATTCAAACATCATGGCCAGCTTTGCAACTGAGTTTGGGGGAATTACTTGTGACAATGGAGATGTTTGACGCAGTTCACGACAGTCAATCTACAATAAATGAAGATTTTAAGTAAGAAGCAAAAATTTTCCCTACGCTAGTTGATTTAGGTAAAAGTGATTAACACTTAATATTGACTTTTTCTTTAGTGATATGATCCCATCATGTTGGTTAAATTACATGATCTCCCAATGGAATAAACTGCAAAATCTATCCAGGGTTAGGCTAGCCTTTTTATAAATGTTGACTGGGTTTAAGAAAGTCAAAGAAAGAAGACACTCCTTTACCTCTACAACAACATGAATAAAACTATTTAAGTTGTTAACAATCATGAGATCTCTACTGCTAGCAGACCGTAGACAAACTTGCCCAAAGTCCATAAGGGAAGGACCTGAAAATATAAGAAAAACAATTAAGTGTAGGAAAGATTCATTTAGTGACGGAAGAGTTCAAGGTAATTTTAATTCAGTTTACATTTATCATTAACAACAAGTAGATTCTGTTGTATTCCATTCAATTTACCTATATCTACAAGTTTTAATTCCTGTGGAGAGAGCACTGAGGAACAGTCCTGCCTCTCCCTTTCTGTCATTGGCACAGCATTCAAGCCATCACTCAACTACAAAGAAAAACATTTAAACCATCAGCAGGCCAATACATGTGTCCACTGTAGGGTTGCATGCAGGTACATGGTACATAAACTAAATGGTTTCCTTCTATAATTCTTCTTTGCAATTATTAAACAGTATTCAATAACTTATCTCAACAGATTATTATTGATTACTTACTGTTTTTAATAAGGTCTTTGACTTTTCATCTGCAAGTGTCATGGAACTCAATAACTTCACTTCATCACGAACTGGAGAAGGAGCTGTACAATAATTAAAGAAAAAGTCACTGCTAATAATCCTTAATACTTTACCTGTACACTTTCTGACAGGTATTCTGAAAACCTGGGCTGGCCCACAACACAGTCCATAGACTGATCTGTGGAATTGCCCATGGTTTACAAAAAATGTAGCTCATGGACAACTTCATCATGGTCTACTAGACTTAAAGGTTTTGGAAAAAAAAGTGCTGGAGCAGCAGATGACAAGTGTGCAGTCATTTGTTGTGGCTGACATATTGAACATAAAAGACATTAGGGATGGAGTAAGTACAACAAACTTCTGTTGGGGCTGGGGTGAATTTGACATGTGGCTAGCAAAAATAAACCATGCACAGCCTACTAACATCCAAGCTTTATAGCACAATTTGCTTCAAGATGAACCTCATTCACAAAAACATTATCTGATAATCTTAAATATTTGATTGCAGATGTGCAAATGTTTCACAAACATATCCATCTCATCATAAATGAATTAAAATTCAAGCTCACTGTGCAGAATGCAGTTTAATTATCAGGGTGCAGCTGGAGTTGTTATTGGAGCTGATTTGTTCAAAGGGTGACTATTGTGAATGTAAACTTAACAGCTCTGTATAGTTTTTGTTGGATCATTTAACTCTATCATCAGGAAAAGTTTTTTTCAGTCTCCAAACAACTCAACCTTAAATGGTGCTAAAAGATTTTAAACCTTACACCCTGATAGTCATTAGATGCATTTCCACTTACTCAAAGTTCAATTCTTTGTCTTTGAATTGTGAAAGCCAACTGGTCAGAGTGCCTCCCGACAGTTGAGATTTTAACCCCTTTATTAAACATGTTTACTTGAAATCTATCTCTGGTAACTAACAGGCCCAATTGGAGATAATTTAATGGAAGATATTAGAGATACCTTTGACTGGGGATGTAACCTCTTTTGCTGAGATCTTTGGAGGTTTTAATCCTATGGTACTTCTCATTCCTAAATCAGTGTTGTTATTAAACTGATGAAAGTCACTGCAAATGATAACAGGACAGAACACGTCACTCTAATGAAGACTCACTGTATGTAACCTATATGATGGTGTAAGCCTTGCAATTTTCCACATTTTCAGGTATATATTGACAAAACTTAATTTTAGAGAAACTTGTACTATATTACCTGTGTTATAGAAAATGTAGTAAAAGTTGTGGTTTTACAGATAAATTTTAATTGTTTGACTCACAATATCAGAGTCAGGCTAATCAAATGTGTATTGATTAGGACCTTTCGGCTGCTATGCTGCTAACCTTTGTCTTCATCATCCACAAAAGAAGACTTCATGCTAATAACATCAATAGAATCAAAATTAAAGGTCACACAGGATACTAGATTAAAACAGATGCCATTGGAATTACCTTCTCTTACTGTCAGCTTGTCTCTTTTGCCTCAAAGACTTGATGTAGTCCAAATATTGTTGTTTGTGTTCCAATCTGAGTTGTTGTTCTTCTTCAGTGAAGGCATAATCAGGGTCTATATAGGTGTACCTCTCAATACCTGTAAATAATGTCCTAAAGTACAAAGTTTTTTGTTTTATAAAAGAAAGTTTCTTTAAAAAGAAAATTTAAAAAAATAATCATGTTAACTCCACATGGCTGTACAATTGAACAATAAAAATATTTGGCAGGAATAAAAGGATCAGTCTTTTCAGGAAACGCTACAATGTAGATTAAGAAGAGAAGATCAAATTTATTTCTAAGTTATCGTCTGTATGCTTATTTTATTACACATAAACTGTTACTCACTTGACAGTTTCATTTCTCTTTGCTGGCCGGACACTGGTTGCACGATCATTTGGATGGGCAACCTGTGGGACTCCAGGTGCCGGCTGTGTTTTGAGTTTATTGGTTGCCCTGGTTCCAGAGCCATGAAAAGAGATTGGAGTAGTGTAAATTGGTACCAGCCTGACAGTATAAAACAACCACTTATAATCAATTCATAAACTTTTTAAACAAAATAGCCCATTTCCGAATTACCCTTGGCCTCTCTTTCAAAACGAGGCCTGGTGCTCAACCATTCTTGTGAAAATGAGTTTAATTTGTACGTGAATGAAAACTTGTTATCATATTAAAGGATGAGCACCAGGACTCGTTTTGAAAATGAGGCCAAGGGTAATTTGGAAATGGGCTATTAAGGACATCAGTCATAAATTGATAGTCTTTTTGGCACGAGTAAAAGAAACTGTTTTGACTGCTGACAATATTTGTTCACTGTTACCTTAGTCACACATTTAAAACTTATAATATACAAAAAAGGTATACAAAAACAGCAATGAATGTTTTAATTTTACATTTCTTTGATATAAAATCTTACAGGAGCAGGCAAAATTCATGTTCTAGACCTTACAGGGTAAGAAATATTGAGCATAATGCTCCATTAACCTCAAAAGAGTAGGATCTCCATCAAATGAAAACTGCTCTACAATGCCTCCTAAAACCTCCAGAGGAACAAGTGGCTTGAAGGATCCCATCTGATTGGGCCTGAAAGTCAACAACACGTCTAACGACATTCCAGGATTAATATGAGCTTGTGACGGTGAAGAATGGAAATGTGCTGTGGAGTGTAGGGAAAATATCAATGGCAAGCTAGCTGATTCATTGTTCACAGTGCATAGTATATCAACTTGTTCACCAATTAGACAATCTCCAAACTTAAACACAGGACTTGGTGAGATGGAGAGCAGCACTGGCAAAGCTGTTCCTAGGATAGCAACTTCAACTCTAGAACCTGAAAAATCATCATGTAATGGAAAATGACTAAGAGTTTACAGCAATCAGACAATTCATAACTTTGGAGATTTTGATCACTCATACACTAAAGAAGGGAAAGTTGCACTTGGTACAAATGTTAGCAAAAAAGAGAGGGAGGCACTTATTCAAAGGGTTGACATTCATTTGAGTGGAGGTTCTAATTCAATGATTTCATCAGCATACTAAATAAATTACATTGTATACAAGTTTAAGCAAGTTTAACTTTGGAGATTTTGATCGCTCATACACTAAAGAAGGAAAAGGTGCACTTGGTATAAATGTTAGCAAAAAAGGGAGGGAGGCACTTATTCAAAGGATTGACATTCATTTGAGTGGAGGTTCTAATTCAATGATTTCATCAGCATACCAAATAAATTAAATTATATACAAGTTTAAGCATAGATAATAAGTTGCTCATAATAGTCATTCCAAGAATCAATGGACAAAATATTGCAGGTGCTAAACAAACCAAAAAAGGGGCACTGAACAAATGCTGTACAAGAAACCAGTACCTAGCTGATCAACACAATTGTTTTTAAGATCTACTTTTCAGTCATGGCAAAATCAAACCTATATGATTTTTAGTTCATTTTTCTCACCTCTATTATCACTTCCACCTCCAGAAACACTGCCAACAGTCTCTATATGCATAAACAAGGTGTAATCTTTCCTTGGGGGAGGTTGATCATTAGCCACCCATCCTTTCGTGGATTTTGCATATCTTGGACTAAATCTAAAGTGAATCTCTCTTTTTTCTTGTGGATGAAGGATCCCCTGGTTTGGCAAGGCTGTCACCAGTGTTGTCAAGTCATTGGCATTTCCCAGCTCCTGAGCATTTGTTTGAGAAAGTAACATTGCTGTAGCACTCTTGGTCAAGTCAACCCCCTGAAAGACATACAATGTCAGACAATTTAACAAAATTAGTACTAACAGTAACATTAAATTTTCCTTCTTCCCTGCACTCCTGTCTTATTGAAAACAACCAACCCAAATTTCCTTAATTCTCCATGTGCCCTCTATATTTAGCTAATGTCATATCCACTGATAATAACTTCCTCTTTCCACTCCCACATGCTAAATAAATGAAGCTCATCAAAGTATATCCATAGATGCAAATCGTTTCCCATCTTCTACTTTTACAGCATAGCTCAGGATAGTACTAATTCCTAGTTATCTCTCTCTATACTGTGAACTATGCAACCCCTCCATGATAACAACACTTCCTGTCCTTATTCCCCATAAGGTACCACATACCAGTTCTTGTCCCTCTCCACCCTCTTCCAATATAACAACAAAATTAGCAACATCTGGTCCATTGTTATAAATAAGAAATGACTGAATCTGGTCAGTCCCATAATATGTTGAGCCAAAGTTAATTGTTTCAATGTTTTCTTCTGTATCTAAAGTCAACAGTTCCAGAGATCGCTCCACTACATTCCCAATGATATGCAGAGTTGTTGGAGATTGGCCATCTAGTTTGATTCTGCAAAGGAAATTTAGATTTATTGACTCTTCATGAGAGTTCTGGTGTAATTAATTGTAAAAAATAAGTTCTCTAATGTTTCCCCATTGCCACCTTACTTTTTGTGCAAAGTTGACTCTAATAATAACTATTTCATGTAAAGAAAACAATCATTCATTCATTTTATTTGCCATTATCAGAAAAAAATGAACTGAATACAAAATTTATGATACATCAAAGATAAAAAGAACTATAATTAATTCTAACTAAATTAACTTCAAAATCAAAGGAACTGAAGAGGTAACAGCAAGGAAGCCTATTAGAAGTCAGGGGCTTATAAAGTATAGGCTTCCTTAAACTATAGGACAAACCATACAAATCAAAGGTGCTGTTAGTATTTACTTACTGTGCTTCTTCATTTAGCTTTCCTGGAGTCTTGCTTATGAATTCAATCTAAGCAAAGGAAATTTAGTGTAATTACTAGCTAAGGAGAGTCAAATGTGAGCTTAAAAGATAGGTATATAACCTGAACTGAGAGAGAGAGAGAGAGAAAGGAAAGCAGCTCTATTCTCTGCTAAAGAGAAAAAGGACCAAAGATGATGATCATGATACCCACAACCACAATTACATATTATCCCAATTTTCCTTGAACTCTTTTGTCGCAGTCCACGATTTCTACAAACTGAACACAAAACAACTTTTAATGACTCTATACACTCAACAGTTGCACTCACCTTGACAAACTGCCTAGCTCCTGGCTTAATAATGCCACCTGAAGGCATAATTGTGATTGGCTGGTTGCCATTGTACCTTATTTTAAATTCCCCTGTCAATGATCCCTCATTGGTAATAAAAATCTCACGCATTAAGACCTTGCTATCAGCTACTGTCACACCAAAATCTGCCGGACCACTCAGTTCCAACTGTGGGCAAGGTGTGTATCTATAATTAATAGTAAAATAATAAGTTGTTGGAAATAGAAGTTACAGTCACCACACTGCAACACCCTTCACATAAAGACGCAAAGTCTTTATCACAGGAAACAATTATAACCTTGATTACTTACAAGACCAAAATACGAAAAAAGATACACTTCCATGTGTGTGCTTTGGGAAAAAATGTGATGTACATCACAATACTGGTATAGCATAGCATCAAATGAGTGTAACTGATGCATGACTGACATGAGGTTAGTCTTAGAGGTTAGCCCATCATAATTGATTCCACTGGGCATTACATTAAATGCTCACACTAATCATACTAAAATACTTACGCAACTAGAGGAATCTCCACAACATCATTATCAACCACTAATATAACTCTGTCCTGTGCATCTTCAGCTTTAGTGGTGTAGTATTCAACCAAAGCCGACACTTCAAGCCCTGGTGCAATAGCATGTTCTGGATTCTTTGCTTTCAATGTGAAACACTTTTACAAAATAACAATAATAATCAGATACAATGTATAATTATATGAAGTTCATATATTTTGAACTGCGGTATTTGATACGTATGATGCACGATCCTAGCAGTAGAGAGCGCTATTTATGCAATAGCGAAACACAGGTTTATTACGAATCAACTTAACGGCCTGCTCCCAGTTGGCTTGTTAGCTCAATTGGTAGAGCGCTGCACTAGTATTGCAGAGGTCAGTGGTTCGAATCCTGTACAGGCCTGATTTTTTTCAGGTCTGATTTTTGCTATTGCATAAATAGCGCTCTCCACTGCGAGGATTGTGAATCATACGTAACAATAATAATAATAATAATAATAATAATAAAAATAAAACAGTTATAAATGATTGATTCCACATCAGTAAGTAGTATTTGATAATGACAACAGTAAAAGTT